AGAATTTCTAGATATTCCAAAATGGCGGCCTGGAAGAAGCTGGATATTTCTGATTTTTTTTTTCCTTTTTTTTTTTCTTTCGTGACAATCACGTTATGATAATATTACATGTACTTATATTTCCTATTAGCGAAGGCATTTTCAGCGTATAGGAAATTCGGAATCTGGTTAAACGAAAGTCTCCGTATTGTTACACTTCCGGGGATTAATTTCTCTGCAATTTCTTTTTGCCGTTATGGCTTATGGCAAAGTATCAGCTTTTGTTTTTAACATTGTTTAATGATTCTTTCCGAGGCCAATATTGGGGGGACCGAATTTCTTTCTTTCTTTTCTTTTCTTTTTGGACTCTGCAGATGGAGAAATTGGACAGCGATCGATCGCTCGGTCGATCGCCTCGGTTTCGATCGGAAGATCGATCGATATCCTTTGATCAGGACTCGCGGTGGAACTTTCGGTGGCGATTTCGTTCGGTTTCGAGCTGCGGCTTCCAGGAGAGCGAGAACTCGTTCGAAGCTATCCGCGTTCGCGTTTCCTGTGCGGCCGAGATAAATGTGCGTGGACCGCAAAGTATCTCGGTTACTATATCAGCTTGCCTGTAATAATGGAGAATAAAAATCAATTCCTCGGCAAGCCTGTACAAGAATCGATTTTCAATACCGGTTTGGACTTTCTTCAAGAGATTTCCTGCGTTCGTCAGCTGGCCGCTCTCCCCGTAACCGAGATAGTAGGAGGATCTACCTTTGATCTAATTACGATCAGCGCTCTCTAAAAGGGAAAATAATATTAATACCTGTATACATTAAGTACACCTACATGCATAAAATACTCGACGCCCGTTACAGTCAACGCGCGAGCCCACGTGCGTCTTCATCAGACGTCGTTATCGACGGCGCAAAAATTTTTATATATTATTGTACATTATTTTGCCCCGTTTCAGAATTTCAGCTCCATACAAAAGTATGGAGCTGAAATTCTGGGATGGAGGAATGGAGAAAACTCCAGTTGGACTAAAACAGCGGATGTTGAGTTCGAAAAACTAATGGCTGATCGTAAAGTTCCAGAGATTGTTCAACCCCAGAATTGAGAATCCTCCTTAATCTGTAAAATCATTGCACTTTCCACTCCGTTGAAATGATTACACATTCCTGCGGAAACTTGGAACGTTTAAAAGTATCTCCAGGAATTCTTTGGTCAATATCGAATTGGCAGGAATTTTTGAAAATTCCCGCCACCGCGCAAAGTCAGCGCGCCCACGTGTCCTTTCCGCTGGCATCGTTATCGACCCTGCAGAGCTCTGCATTATCTCCTCGCGCATTATGCCGGGGCAGCCGGTAACGAATACGTAATACGTATTCCGTTCACGAGCGGTCTTATGGTAATGCCAGTCTCTAGGCGGGCGGTCTCCAAAGCCGGTGAGTTTATAAGGTAGGCGCAGCCGATTTATGGCCGCGCTTGCCCACGTATCTAAGGAAAAATGGGGAAAAGGGGAAAAAAGGACCCGATCTAGATAAGGTCCACCAAGTGGGGAGTCGCATAAATTTTCCTCGACAAACCACGCCCTTTTAATTATCCGACATTTGTCAAATTGCCCCCGCCTACATGCCGATTTGTCTCCGCGAAATTTCCGCGATTGACTTTCCCGGCTATTTTTCCGCGCTAAAGGAGACTGCGACGATTATCCGCGTTCCGGACAATTCTCGAGGAAATTGGCGACATCTCGAGCGCGCCGACTTTTTGCACCGAGCGACGGTCTTGATCGTGAAACTCGGCAGAGTCTCGCGCCAAGTGCACGCGCTTAAGTATATAAAAAGCGTCGGGGACTATTTTCGACAGTGATGGATACCTGGTCCACTAAATGACGAGTTTTTCCCGCAGATTTGAAACTTTCCCTATCGGAATCATCCAGTGACATGATTCGTCCATCGTTGAATCACTTTTAGCGACTTCCTCCTTCTTTTCCCGCCGATCGACCGAATCGTGGCCGATCGAATTAGTGCATCGATTGCAACGCGCCTCGTAATTCGCGATCGATCTCGAGTAAACAAGTCATAAAGTGCTCCCGATTTCGCGTCTCGTCAAAACAATCCCTGAATTCCCTGTTAACCCGTTCGACCATGACTTACGATCATCGCAACCTATCGATAATATATCCGTGTCTTTATCGACCGATCGTTGCAAAACCGATCTGTCGAAATCGCCATTGACATCAATGTACATTTGCGCCTCGACTTGAGCCTCAAAAGACACCGATAAATCGCCGCCATTCATCCCCCGCATTGAACTCTCCAGGAGGGAATTTCAAACTCGCCCCACGTGGTCTGAAATCCCAGATTAATTAATTAATTACTTTCCCCCCGAAATATTTTCACATCTCCAGGAAATGCAAATCTTTAATTTCGCTCGGGATTAATTCCTACTCTCTCTATTTTCTCTATTTATCGTTTAGAGGAAAGATGTATATAAATAACGCCTCCCTTTTTTAATTGTCTCGATAGTCCCTGTCGAAATTTCATTTTGTAATTTTTTGTTTTATTTTTCTTTTCTTATTCTTTTTGAAATTGTAGCTGCAGCTTTTTTCTGCTGATGGTGCAAAGTTGAAGTATGCGCAGTGACAAAGCTCCTTGAAAACTCGACAAGCGTCCGTTCACTTGCAAATGCAAACTAAGTCCCGTACATGCCAAGATCTAGGACAGCGTTCACGGCATGTCGTAATTGGATCGATCGACTCCCGTCGCGTTCCTCGCCTAACTCTTGATTAATAGAAATATACCTTCGAGCGGAGACACAAAAGGTCGCACGACCAGACCGGTTGTAAACTCGGCTGCAATTATCGGCAAAGCGATTCAAGTGCAGTTTTCATCGTGCCGTTAACTCGCTTGTGCAATCCATGCTTCTCCTGGCGGGCGCTTTTCGAACCCGCCGGGAATAAGAGCGGGAATTGTAAAGAAATTCAATTTGCAATGAACATTTGAAGACTCTTTCCAGAGCTAAGAAAAAATTCATGACCGAAAAAACATTCCGTTAATTCGACGAAGAATTGTGGGCCTAAAATGAGCTCAAATGAATCGCCGCAATTCCGAATTTAGGTGAAACAAATCATTCTTTCGATTTGCAAAATGAAATCTCTGGTACCACTCGAAGAGATGTTTCTGCGGTTCGATGAAATCTTCTTTTCCTCAGTTAATAGATACTTGTAGCAAATCATTCTTCTCGCCGAGATGTAAGAAAATGTAGAGGGGAATTATTTAGTTAATTAACGTGAATGAACCATCGTTACGCGTGTTCGTAAAATCGTAATCGATGAAATCTTTTTTATTTTTCTCAGTTAATAGATACTTGTAGCGAATCATTTTTCTCGCCGAGATGTAAGGAAGTGTCGAGGGGAATTGTTTAGTTAATTAACGTGAATTCATTGTTAATCACTTTAAGCGTATTCGTGAAATCCTGACCGGGAGGATCCCAATTGGGAATCTATGGTTGATTCGATCGGATCGAAGAGCCAGACCAACGTAAGCGGCATTCGTTTCGACGACATTCCCTTACCGGAATTAAAACGGAGCAATTTTCCTTCGTTCTGGTTTCCACGGAGTAACGAACGATTCAGTCGACCGAGGACAATTTCGAATTTACGTCGCAATCATCTCGCGAACTCTTCCGCTCGGATTTCGCCGTTTCCGCGATGATAACCTGCGAGTTTGATAACGAATATCTGCATGTTCGGCCATTTTCTCAAATCAAACATTTGTCACGTCTTGGTCGAAGGGAAGAATAGTCAGCACGTGATTTTACACGACCGGTCATGATGAAAATTTGTTTACATAAAATTCTAACATTTTTTATAAATAATGAAATTTCATGGGTGTCAAGACCTTCCTTCTAGCCTAAATATTCAGGTTGTAAAGTTTGTTACGATTCGATATACATGGTTCGGAGAAAAGTTTCACAAACGAGACCTCTTTAACGCCACTTTCACATCACCTTAAGGAAGGAACGAAGGGATGTATTAGTTTCTAAATTTACTTTCAAACCCGACGAGCAACCTTAATCGGCCAGTTAACTCGCGACACCTTCACCTAGATATTTGGAAAAAACGCGGAAGATACTGGAGTAAATAAACAGCTAAATAGACTAAACTCGAACATGGCCTTAATCAGCTGCAGTGCTCGATATCTCTTGTAGGGTAGCCATCCTGGCGCCTCCAACCTACTTAAGCAAGAAACTTATTATATAAGCGCTAGAAATAACGCGGTAAAAATATTTTCATCGAACAAAATCATATACAGCTGATTATATTCGTTTATAATTGCACCTGGCCAAATTCCTGATTTTCCGCGAAGCTCGATGTGACAAATGACAAGTTCTTAAGAATCATTTCCAGTCGAATATTTATAACAACAATTTTTAGTTGAACTAGCAAAAATTTTTGTGGATATTTATCCACGCGAATTCTAGCGAAAATCTAGGAAATAAAGTAACGACCTGCAAATTCAATGCGACGGAAATAACGAGTTAAGAAATGTTGACTTTTTTTTTCGCGCGCATCAAAATGACCTGCAAATTGAATATTGGTTTATGAAACGCAACAGGAATGACATGTAATTAAATGATGTTTCTTCTGTAGAGGTCTCATCAGGATATTTATCCACGAGCGTGAAAATCTAGGAAATAAAGTAACGACCTGCAAATTCAATGTGTTGACTTTTTTTTTCGCGCGCAACAAAATGACCTGCAAATTGAATACTAATTTATGAAACGCAGCAGGAATGACATGTAATTAAATGATGTTTCTTCTGTAGAGGTCTCATCGGGATATTTATCCACGCGCGTGAAAATCTAGGAAATAAAGTAACGACCTGCAAATTCAATACGACGGAAATAACAAGTTAAGAAATATTGACTTTTTTTTTTTCGCGCGCATCAAAATGGTCTGCAAATTGAATACTGATTTATGAAACGCAGCAGGAATGACATGTAATTAAATGATGTTTCTTCTTTTGTAGAGGTCTCATCAGGGTCGGCAGACCAGTCCTCGGCGTCCTCCTTCTGGAGTCCTTCTATCAAGACCGGAAACATCTTCACGGACGATAGTCCGAGTTTCTTCTCGTCAACGCATGGCCTGGTGCAGACTCACCCTTCTTCCGGGCTCTTCCAGAGTGGTTTCGGAGGAATTGATAACCTAGGAAGTAGAGGTAGCACAGTCCGTCCTCCAAGAACTAGACCTCTGGACTACAGCGAAAGGGCGACGGCAGAGCTGAGAAGAAATCCCTCCTTATCAGCCCCGGATGAATGCGCGAGGGCGTGCAGAGATGGCGAGCCTCCCAGAATCTGCTACTATCACTTCACCCTGGAGTACTACACCGTACTTGGCGCGTAAGTCTACAAAAGAAAAAAAGTAAATTCGCCCATGAACGAAATTCCGCCTCACAGTGATAACAATTGCACCGATAGGGAAAACACTTGTAATTCTACCAAGTATTACAATCGCAATCATAAAATTTTCCCAAGCCTCCCAGAATCTGCTACTATTACTTCACCCTGGAGTACTACACCGTACTTGGCGTGTAAGTCTTCCAAAAAAAAAAAAGAGAAATAAAATCGCCCGTGGACAAAATTCCGCCTCACAAAGATAACAATTGCACCGATAGGAAAAACATTTGCAATTCTACCAAGCATTACAATAGCAATCATAAAATTCCCCCAAGCCTCCCAGAATCTGCTACTATCACTTCACCCTGGAGTACTACACTGTACTTGGTCCGTAAGTCTACCAAAAAAAAAGAAATAAAATCGCCCGTGGACAAAATTTCGCCTCCCAGCGGTAACAATTGCACCGACAGGAAAAACACTTGCAATTCTACCAAGTATTACAATCGCAATCATAAAATTCCCCCAAACCTCCCAGAATCTGCTACTATCACTTCACCCTGAAGTACTACACCGTACTTGGCCCGTAAGTCTACAAAAAAAAAAGAAATAAAATCGCCCGTGGACAAAATTCCACCTTCCAGCGGTAACAATTGCACCGACAGGAGAAAATGTTTGGAATTCTACCAAGCATTACAATCAATATGAAATTCCTGTAGTCCCAGGGAAGTCATTCGTGTAATGAAAGCAGCAAAAGCGCTTCTGATCAGGAAAAGAAAATGAAATATCACGTCCCATTCGTGTAATGAAAGCAGCAAAAGCGCTTCTGATCAGGAAAAGAAAATGAAATATCACGTCCCATTTCGAGTGTCCACATTTTTTGGAGCAATTAAAATCTCTTCCGACGAGTAGAAACAATTTTTCCGCGCGAACCCCAGTTGCGGTGCATGGTCTGGAAATTGATAAAAGTGCACACCAGGCCCGATGTAAATTGTCTCGGTCCCTAGACACTTTCTCGGGGTTTCGCCGCGAGCACCGGCGACGACGTTCCGGACCAGTTGTGCAAACTAGTCCGCGAAGCAGGGCGTAGGACCAGGATATGTAATTGCGAGTAATAACGCGTAATCAGGGTAATTCCCGGGGATATTTAGAATCATTTACCACGGCCATAATATCGCGTCGGTATTTAAATTCCCTGGGTGGTTGGGTGGGTATCAGGACGTCGAATACTTCGGAAGGATATGATTGGTACCCAGAAGTTGTAGACGCGTCCATTTGGTGCCAATTTCGCGCCTGCCGTTTGACCTGGAAAATGGTTGAAAATGTACTTTCTAAAATAGACACCTCGTCAGTTTATTGACTCGACTTTGCCTTCAGTGCCTGCCAAGTATGCACCCCGAACGCGACAAACACCGTCTGGAGTCACTGTCAGTGCGTCCTGGCCGATGGGGTCGAGAGAGGGATCCTGACAGCCAACAGGATGATCCCTGGACCCAGCATCCAGGTGTGCGAGAACGACAAAGTGGTCATCGACGTGGAGAACCACATGGAAGGGATGGAAGTGACCCTCCATTGGCATGGAATCTGGCAGAGAGGATCGCAATACTACGACGGGGTACCCTTCGTCACCCAGTGCCCTATCCAGGAAGGCACCACCTTCAGGTGACGACTTCGACGATTGGTGGCAACTCGGTCGTCCATGTCTTCCTAGAAAATAAAATTGCCGCGTAAATAGAACAAGTACCCAGCAATTTAATTCAATCCCCAGGTACCAGTGGACTGCCGGTAATGCAGGGACCCACTTCTGGCACGCCCACACCGGGCTCCAAAAAATGGACGGACTTTATGGAAGCGTTATCGTGAGACAGCCTCCCAGCAAGGATCCCAACAGCAATCTGTACGACTACGACTTAACGACCCACGTGGTGCTTATCAGCGATTGGATGCACGAGGATGCTGCGGAGAGGTATCCAGGACGACTCGCTGTTAACACTGGCCAGGATCCTGAGACCGTGCTTATCAATGGAAAAGGACAATTCAGGGTGCGTTGGATAGATGGTCATCTTCAAAAATCCGGATGATATCTTTGGGAGCAGTTTGGGTCGATCGATGAAGTCGAATATTCACTACGGAACCGCTTTCTACCAGCTGGTCGGCGATCAGCTGATCGATCCTTCTGGCTATTATTCCAATACACCGTATCGATTATTGGTTGTCGATCACCTCGGGGATCTACACGTTCTCTTCGGTTTGAAACATCGATCCATGACGTCGGATTAATTCCTTAGTTAATAGTCTCCTGTCTTTCAGGACCCCAACACCGGCTTCATGACCAACACCCCTCTGGAGATCTTCACCATCACTCCTGGACGACGTTATCGATTCCGTATGATCAATTCTTTCGGGTCCGTGTGTCCGGCCCAGATCACCTTCCAAGACCACACTCTCACCCTGATCGCTACCGACGGCGAACCGGTCCAGCCTGTCAACGTGAACACCATCATCTCATTCTCGGGTAAGACGAGACCACCACCGCGTCACCTGATCATCCTAAGATTCGTCCATGTCTTGTCTACTTTCTACGACGAAAATTAGACCAGATTAGACGATCAAGATGTTAGAAGGCACCTTTCCTACAGACAGAGCCCGTCAGGTGATAGGTAACCCAACACCTCCCAGGCGTCACCTGATCGCCCTGGACCACCCATTCACGTATGATGAAGCACTTTCTAAAAAGCATGAAGAGATTAAGTGGTGCCATTTTTGCGAGACAATCTATTAAGAAGTTAAAAGACCATCGATCTCGATGTGATAAGAGCGATCTCTTTACAGTAGCCATTTCTTCAACGACTCTTCATGGTCTAGAGAAGGTGTGTACCTTGAAGTGGGAGACAGGTGCTAAGTAGCTTCGTTTGCGGGGAACCAGAACATCACCTAAAGCTTTCACCGCGTCTTGTAGGAGGATTTTTCTTCATTTTGTAATATTTCGTTACCCTGGTAGACACCTGGGGTAAGGTGACACCTGGGAAAGGGGATCGTCCCGATCATCCGATCCACTTCTTTGCAGACTTTCTAGCGGGAATGAGATAAACTTGGATAGATAATCAGTCGGTATTCATTTTAAATCGAGATATATTATAGCAAGAGCAACGGTGATCGATTCGCAATCGGACACTTAGTGGTCGTACGTGATTAATGAACGGTAATGGAGGTTGTAAAACAACTAGATCTGGCATTATCTTCTAATAGAGCAATGATCGCCGGCTCTCGTGCCGGGCATGGGCGATTAACAACGTCATCCGTATCGCCTTCTACATCATCATCTACATCATCAACGTCATCTAGGTGACATTTTTAGGTATCTAGTGATCGTACAGCCTTTCGCAACATCCGCGGCTTTTTTTCGAGGTATCATTACTCCTTATCACCTCCAACGACAATTCATGGACCGGAAATCCTGAAACGATTTAAGCAAATGGTACCCAATCTGTGCCACCAGTCTTCAAATCCACTTAGAGTGTCGACGAAACTCCAAGACCATGAAGAACCCACCAGGAAGCTGAGGATCAGTTTCCTAGTTTGTTTGTTGTTGTTCCTAGACCATGGATGATGACGAGAGACGCGGAACAGGTGGCGGTATCATGGGTGTAGGGGAACATTAACGACCATTCGTCAACGAATTAACAGCACTTAGCAGGTGTTCCAGGCGATCGCGTTTCTCCGATCTCGTGATCAGACCCGGGCTCGCCTATGATTGCACGGTATCGGATTAATGATTAATGATTAATGAAGAGAACCCACCGTATCGCGAGACCCGCCACTTAGAGCGGCCCCAGATTCCGGTTCAACGCGACCTGGTCGTCCTTTCTCTCCAGAGTTTCCAGGAATTATGCGCACCGTGTCTTTTGCCCTCTTCGATTCCTGGTTACGCACGAACAGACGGATCAGCTGATCCTCGAGTTACCACCGTTGGACCCGCTCTAAATCTCCTGCTGATATTTCTGATATTTCTGGTGTTCCAGATGTCTCTGGAAAACCATCGTTCACCCTCGCTCGATTCCTGGAATGAAAGCCGAGGAATTAATAGGAAATTAATTTCAGGTGAACGTTACGACTTCGTAATCAACGCTGACCAGCCAGTGGGTGCATATTGGATCCAGCTTCGAGGCCTTGGAGAGTGTGGTATCAAGAGGGCCCAACAATTGGGTATCCTGAGGTACGCTCGAGGACCCTACCAACCAGCTGCAAGACCTCCGACGTACGATTTCGGGCTTCCTCAAGGAGTCGTGAGTGTCCAGGTTCTTTATATAATCCTGAGAGGTGGTGGAATTTGAAATGACGATTCCTTCTAGGTCCTGAACCCTCTGGATGCCATTTGCAACCGGCCTCGAGACGACGCCGTGTGCATCAACCAGCTGAAGAACGCTCGTCAGATCGACGAGGGGATTCTTCAGGAACGACCTGACGTGAAGATCTTCCTCCCCTTCCGGTTCCTGTTTTACAGACCCGAGGAAGTCTTCCAGCCGAATACGTACAACCGATACCTGGGTAAGGGTCTATCAGAAATGGGGGAGTTTCTGGAAAAGGGAGGAATTTTATCATTACGTTATGGTTTGACTTTCCATTTTATCTAGTCGCACCTACCGGGGACCATGTCATCTCTCTCGTGGATGAGATCTCTTTCACTTTCCCTCCGTCGCCGCCGCTTTCGCAGATCGACGACATCCCTCCAGAACAGTTCTGCAACGGTGATAACAGACCTGCCGATTGTGGCGCTAATTGCATGTGCACCCATAAGGTCGACATTCCTCACAATGCCATCGTGGAGGTGGTGCTCGTTGACGAAGGTAATAGGAGCGGATCGATCCTTCCTCCTGATCTAAGAATAATTTTTTGGAATTATTAATTATAGAATTATAGAATTTATAAATTTAATTATCAAAGAGGACCCTTTATCAGGGCCCTTAAAGTAGGGGGTAGCGCTAGACTCCTCCGTGTGGTATACCACACGTTATATATTAAACATGAAGAACCATCATTTTTTATACTCTTACGACTGCGTTGCCACGCAGGATGGATGATCTGAAACCCGGAAATGAGAGAGTTCTTTGTTACATTTTAATTAATATGTCTATTCTTGCCAATAGTTCAGCAACCAAACCTCTCGCATCCGTTCCATCTCCACGGATACGCCTTCAAGGTGATCGGGATGGGTCGATCTCCAGACAAGAACGTGAAGAAGATCAACCTGAAGCACGCATTAGACCTAGATAGGAGAGGCCTCCTACACAGGGAGTTCAACCTCCCTCCTTCAAAGGACACCGTGGCAGTGCCCAACAATGGCTACGTGGTCTTCAGGTTCCGCGCCGACAACCCTGGTGAGAACCTAGGGATAACCATACACATAGATAAAAAAAAAGTGGAGCTAACATAAGTTCACTTAAATCCACCGAATTACATCCAAAAACCCTTCACTGAATCAATCGATCAGAAATGAACAAAAGACATTCTTCAACATCCGCATGATAACCACGTTTCCCGGTAGAAGTGACAAAAATTTCCCTCGATTGAGCCGAATATTTTCCTGCGTGTCAAGTATAAAGCACTATCCTTTTCTTCAAAATAGTTGTAAAAAATCCCACGGATAGGAAGAGTCGTATCTATCGTCCCTATCAAGCCTATCCTATCTAGTCGCAAATCTTAGTCGTAATCTTGCCAGGATCGAAACTTTTCCGCACTTGACGGCGCCTTTTTCTTTCAGGTTACTGGCTGTTCCACTGTCACTTCCTCTTCCACATAGTGATCGGCATGAACCTGGTCCTGCACGTAGGGACGCACGCAGACTTACCACCGATTCCTCCGAACTTCCCAAGATGTGGGGACCACCTGCCGCCGATAACGCCGCCCCTGACGATACCGGGCCCGTTCCACTGACCGCGAGCCAAGGCTCTTAAACGCACCTCAAACCGTGGCATCGCGCTCCAAAGCCCTCGTACTTTTGTACCATACTCCGTGCAAATCGGCCCGCCTTCGACGTAGCGGCCGCGCCACCTCACGCCAGACCCCCGCATGCGCGCGCATCGGGCAACATGGCGGCCCAATCGGCCACCTCGAGACTTTCGTCGCCTCGTGCGCGAGAACGGCAAGGCCGAGGACGTAGATGCGCGGATAGGAGCGATGCTCGCGGTGGAGAATATCCATAACTCGCTCCCCAGATAGATTGAGTACTCGCGTCGCCCTGGCGAGACCGTTTCGGAGAACTGCAACGCGGAGTGCAGTGCTCCGAAGAGAGGCTTTCGAGTGCGCGCGCATCCGGCTCCCAGAGACGCGTTATTCTCGTCACCGGGAGGAGAAATAGCAGCGATTTTTGGGAAATTAGATGGGAACTGGTTACCAAGGCGACGTTTACGGTGGAACTCGTGCTAAAGTAGATGGTTAAAAGGGATTTGGAGCGGTTGTCAAGACGCGCCTCTCGATTACTGGCCGCGACGCCTCTCGGGAACGGATTTCGAGGTGCGCGCGCATCCGGGACCCGGCGCCATGTTGGAACGACGACGCCCGTCTTCGGCCTCTCCGGCGTTTCCGTCTCTTTCGGGAAAACGGCGAAGCCTTGAAACGGGCTCGCCGATTGCGCGTCGCCACCAGTCGATATTTATTTAACTCGAGATTCTTGGCGTGCCTCGCCTCGCGAGTCGTCTCGCGCGTCCCTTTTGTTACAGCGTCTTACCTTGATTCGCGGTCTTGCCCTTGATACGTTGTCCTTTTCTTTTTTCTTTCTTCTTTGGAAATTATGCTGCACATTGGGACGCCCGCAAAAAGCAAGATGGCGCGCTCCGAGGCACGCCAGGCAACTCCACGGAGACGCGTATGGGATGTTTAGATACTAACATAATTCTGTAAATAATGTAGGTACCGCTATTACGTTTTAATTTTATAGGTAACAGTAACGAGGGAGTAGCGGGAGTAGCGTATAGGGATTTGCGGACCGGAGAATGGAGTCGTCACAGTCGGCGTCGAGTCGGGCGAGAAGAAGAGCGATCTTCGCCGAACCTGAAGAGTCCAACGCCGATCTGTGGTCCTCGTCAGCCATATCGGTGCCGACCGCTGGGAACAGGTGCTAGGGTGTCAGAATTCGAGTCCTTGATTAGAGGAGGATACTTGGGACCTTGTTTTCTTTTTTTTATTACGTTTTTATTACGGGGAAATCATGGGGGGTCTCCTTCGGATCGGTTAGAGCCCTGCTTCGTCTCCGCCGCGCCAGGTATCGGGTACCTGGCGGTAGTAATCGCGGTACCGATTACAAGTTACCCTGATAAGACATCCTTGGGGCCTTTTTTAACGTTTTTATACACGGAATCGTTTCAGACTCATTCCAGACTCCCTCGAGCTCGCGACCCTGCCTTATCTCCACCTGCCAGGTGCCAAAGAATTCAAGATTCTCATGGAAGCCCGGAAAGATTCGATGGCCGATTAGTACGTTGGCCTACCGATGGCGGCGCTGTAATCATCCATCCATCTCTCATTCTCTCTTAATTTTATGTATAGCCGATTAGATGCGTTACGAGGGGCTTTTCACTTGGAAATCGGAGAAAACAATTTCCTTTTCCAGAGCCTTTGATTTCATACGATAAACAACAATGCGATTCGGAAAATTGTGACAGTCTTTCGGTGAATTCCGACGATTTCTAGGGATTTCTGCTTGCGATTTCAACATGATTTCTTGAGTGAATACTCTCTTGTGTGAGTTCTTTGTTTTACTCACGGTTTGTCTTATCAGTCTCTTATAAGATACCACCCTTATAAGGTGTTGGCTTACACGTGCGATTTCTTTTTTACTGTCTGGATTTGTTGGCAATCTTTCAGAGCGTCGTATGCCAACTTTCGTGTCGGGCTTCCATGGAATATCTGAATTCTTTACGAGTACGGGTACCTGGAGGGGCGATCGCCGACGACGATCGCCAGGATGGAGGGTCGCCCTTCGCAGGACGCACCGACAATCAAACCCCGAGGCCGTGTACCTGAAAACCGGACACCTCAAAAATAACTTCGGACGATGCGACATCGGACATTTTCCAACACCACACTACCTGACGATAACGATAGTTCAAATAAACACCGCACGCTTTCACGCCCAAAACCGAGCGACCTGTAATTTAACCCCATCCCCCGAGTCTTAAGGCGATGCGAAAGTGGTGTATAAGACATCTCATGTAACTTTTCTCCGAGCTAAATGACCCCGAGTCGTTAAAAACTTTTCAATGTGACTTTAAAGACTTAAGGGAGGTCCCGACCCCCTTGAAATTTCAATATTTTAAAAATTTGGTTATGGACATCTTTAAATTAGGTGTGAAAAAAATTAAATTTCATGCGTGTGGAGACCTTCCTTATAGCCTTCATATTCACGTTGTAAAGTTTGGAACGATTCGATATGCTCAGTTTGGAGAAAAGTTTGATAAACGATTGATCGTTAAGATGCCACTTTCATGCCCCCTTAACCGACTAACCGGAAATGTACAGACTCTAATAGCTCACTTCCGGCGCACGAGTGTAAATCTGTAAATAACCACAAAGTCCCTGCTTTTCGCCGAAAATTCGGAGCGCTCCTTCGACTTTTCAATGTCCTTAAAAAGACTGGAGGAAAAATCGAAACCTCGCTCCAGGGAAAATTTCTTCATAGACTCCGTTACCCGTGAACGATTCGAGGGTGTACATTGCATGAAAAGTGCAATTGTTTAACATCGACATGCACTTACACCCCCGTGTAGATAAACTCAAGATTTTCCGGATTTTGCCGGCGACCCAGAAAATCGACTATTCTCCCTTCCCGCCTCTTTCCTTCCACGCTCTTTCTTTTTTTACGTTCCATTAATCGGTAATAGTCCTCTTTCCTTCCACACTAATTTTCTAAAGTTTCATCATTATTCAGTAATTTTCATACACGGTGACACAACAATTTGCGGAATCCCTGTATATACTTTCGCTCGGTCTGAGCGATTTTTAATGATATGTATACATCATGCATACAGACATATATACGTGTGTACCGCAAGTACGCTAATGCGCGCGAGTGTACTTATTGTTAAAAAAGAAAAGAAAAAAAACCTCCGGAGCCGTCGTTCGTCCCTTTTTTTTCCTTTTTTTTTTGTTAACTTTACTACGCCCTTTTTTTATTTTCTACCTTCAACCTGTCGTTTCTCTTGGAGCGAAACCTCTCTGGAATTTCGAGCGTCGACGTCTAAGTGGACGTCGACGTCCTACAAACGTGGGACCTCGTTATCAAACTCGAGTATCGATATCTCAATGTCTATCGCCATTTCGTTCGATCGCCGATCACGTGCAATCGGTTCCTCCTCGCGCGCGGCGATCGATAGAAATCGGCTCAATGAGTTTGTTTAGATCGTATGGATTATTTACTTGTATACCGTAAAGGGACCAGATGTAAAAAGTGCTTGTATAATATTATATATGAGGCGAGTCGACCGAACGAGCGGTCGTTCGAGCAATACGGCCATTTTCCCTCGTTTTTGCCTGCTGCTCCCGACCGCTCATATTCGTCATTGTCAGACACAAAAAATGTATTTTTAATAATAAAGTTGTTTACAAAAAACTCTGATACTCAATTCCTACGCCAAGATATGTACCATGAAAACATTTCCTCCCGGGCTCAGGCTCTTCTTAATATTAATCCCACGTTTGTAAACATATCCTGAGAATTTTACAACTACTCCAAGTGAGATTATTGCTGATAAAGCTGTTTGCAATATCTCTACGACTTATTTCCTACGGCATGTGTACCTTCAAAATATTTATTCTCAGCTTTAGCCTCTTTCTAATATCAATCACAAACAAACAGCGTTCACAAACAAATCCGGCATGACTTTGAATTTCAGAACTAGTTCAAGTGAGATCTAGTAATGACGGAATTCTTTACGCGACGATGAGATTGCAAGGGATAGATCTTTCCGATTTCTTTTCTTTTTTTCTTCTTTTTTGATGATTAGATAACTGGACGCGTGCAAGATCTTCCTCGTCGCATTTTTTGCAACGCTTTGCTGAAGCCTCTTGGGAAAGGGAATCCCAGGGAATGCTTTTTATTTCTATTTTATATTAATGAAAAAAGAAGAAAAGTAGAATCAAGATCGATAACGAGAGTGATTCCCTTGCCCCCATTTGCGCCCTTTGATTAGACAACGAAATTACGCGCAATTGAGACCGCCGTCTGGGCCAATCGTCATTATCCACTCATCGATCGCTTCCAAATCGATTTGTAAGGTAGCATAAACCTGTCAGCTTTCACTGTAGACAATGATTAATTGAGGCGATAAAAGGGGCGCTGATATACTACTGAAATTATCTCGTGATATATGCGTGTCCGGGTACACCTTGTCATCGAACAATGTTTCGTTAATAGTCGATATTAACATTAAGGAATGGAGATATCGATATCAAGAACCATCATCGGAGCTTGGAAAATCCAGGAAGAAATCTGATATTATGAGTAATTCGCAAAGCTGCAAAAATATTCAAGTACCCTGGACCCAAGGACGCACCTCGAGATGATATCGCTTATCCTCGCAGATCCTTGAAGAACTGCGATTCAGAGATAAATACTCTATTTTTATAATAATTATACGGATTTATGAACTGAGGTGACGTGAAAGTGGCGTCAAAGAAGTTCATGAGACTTTTCTCCAAACTGGGTGTACCGAATCAATTAAAAATTTACAATTTAAATAGGAATGGTAAAAGGAAAGTCTTGAAACTGATGAAATTAAAAATTTTTTTTAATTTGTTATAAAAATTGATATTTTACGGGTATCAGGATCTTCCTAGTAGCCTCCACGTTCACAATGTAAGGTTTGAAACGATTCGGTATACTCAGTTTGAAGAAAAGTTTCATGAACAATTGACTCTTCAGGTGCCACTTTGCGTTCCCTTAATTCGGCGCATTCCCTGAATTCCGCATAATCTCATTTGCATGTGTCACGGACGCCGGTCATTGATTAATTCCGGAGATCGAACTCCGATCTCGAGAGGACACCTCCGTGACTTAACAGGTATCAATCGGAGGCTGATAATTCGAAATCGCGGACATCTTATCGAATCCGATATTGACGCAGCGAGACGACCGGTAAGGTCAATTGTAGGAATCACATTTTTTGAACCACATAGGCAGAGTGGAAAGGGGGAAATCAGATCGATCCACGCATTCAGTGGAAGTATAAATGCCGACTCATTAACGAAGCCTGCAGACACATTCGAGCTTCGCCATCATGAGGATCTTCTTCAGCTTCGTCCTTCTGGGTCTGGTGTTGGTCATCGAGGGTAAATCGACATCTACTACACAACTTACTCCACTTTCCCAAGCCACTTTGACTTGGAAGAAAATTCCAATCCTTCTTTGCCCTGCAAGAAATGCCCTTAAATTAATTCCCTTAGAAGATTCACAATAATTCCTTCGTGGGGAATTATTAGTAATTAATAATTCATTTAATGATCTTCCTCTCCTCATTTCAGGGCGGGAGATCCCCCGAATTGTGGGAGGCTCGGACGCTCCCGATGGCAAATATCCTCACCAGGTGTCCTTAAAAAGAAACGGCCGCCATTTATGCGGGGGATCGATCTTGAACAATCGATGGATCCTCACAGCTGCTCACTGCCTCGTTGCGTTAGTGTCCAACCATGATGTCCATTTTCTCTCTTCTTTTCTTTTCTTGTTCTTATGCCAAGCTATTAATTCTCTGCAACGTGATTACCGAGTAAATTAATTAATTATTGCTAAATCGATGTTTACAGAGCCTCTGGCAGGACGCTAAACGTAGTCGTAGGTACAAATCTCCTCAGCGAAGATGGGGAAGTCTATCAGTCTGATTACATCGTTAGACACGAAAAATACGACCCATCACTAATTCGTAACGACATCGGCCTCATCCACGTTAACAAGGACATTGTTTACAACGAAAAAGTCCAGCCGATTGCCCTTCCATCCTCGAATTTTGAGGACCCGGAACATCCTGTTCTCCTCAGTGGCTGGGGAACCACAATCGTGAGTGAATTTATTTACATTCCCTTTCTGAAATACATAAAGAAATATCAGTAAAGAACCACAGTTCTCCTCAGTGGCTGGGGAACCACAATCGTGAGTTAATGCATTTACATTCCCTTTTTAAAATATATTTAATAATATCACCGAAGAAGAGATACAAAAGTTACCCAGGAATATCCACTGTCTTGTCCTCGCACTAGTGATGAAAATTCAAGTTAATAATTGTTTTCCTTTTTCCAGCTGAATGGCCAGGTCCCAAATACTCTGCAGGAGATAAGCCTTAATGTGATACCTCTGCAGAAGTGCAGGAATATTCATTGGCAAGTGACTGAGACTAATATCTGCACTTTCACAAAGTCAGGAGAGGGTGCTTGTCATGTGAGTGGGAATTTCTCGCAATGAAAATTTTAAGAATTAGAGGATTTTTAGGTATTCTTTATATTCCTTTTTTTGCGTTTTCGCAGGGTGATTCTGGCGGTGCTCTGGTTGCTGGCAATGAACAAGTTGGCATCGTGTCCTGGGGATACCCTTGTGCTCGTGGATATCCTGATGTCTTCACTCGCGTTTACACCTACCTCGACTGGATCAAGAAAGTCATCGATGACTACGCTCTCTCTCACCCTAGTCATTAATTAAGCTTGCCCCTTTTTTTATGGACCAATTGTTATTGTTTTATTTGAAAATCACATGTTGTTAATTTATATAAAAACTAAATAAATGTACCTGTATTATAGTTGAACCTAATATTTCCTTTGTCGAATTGATTCTATGAACTGTCCTCAATGAACACTTTAAATGCATCTCAGTTTTTGAAACATTTTCGGTGACTTCTTAATGTCAAATGGGTGTTGAATTTCGGCCTGGAAATAAACGATCAAAATTTAAACGACAGTTTTGAAAAAAAAAGTGAATAAGTGAAAAATTTTGCAATACCAAAAATCAATAACGATACTTTCATTTGCTGCGAGCTACGATTATTGCCATTCTGAGAAATAATTAAATTAACTCGATTATGAAATGATCTGAGTGGAAAATTTCCACTTTATACTTGAGTAAGATCTTCTGTACATTCTTTTGATCGACATTCCCTGTCAGAAAATTTCAATTCATATTCCGAAATCACTGAAATATTTTGAATACTTTCTGTCGTCGTGGCATCTTTTCCAAAAATCGCACAAATCTCAAGAACGTCTTTTTTCATTAACTGAAGTGCGATAAAAATGTCTGATGTATTATTTAATATTTGATACATTGCTTTCCGGACTCTGAATCATAAAACGTTAGTTAACGAGAGCTTCATTATATATATAGGAATAATAAATGTAACGAGTACAATTTTGCAACATAATTTTGGATAGAACATCGTATTGTTAATGATTCTACTTTAAGCGGTATTTTTTTGCTAATGTTTTAAATTATTGTAAACGTGGCACAAAATGTTTATAAACAAGAGGTTTAGTCAAGAAGGCAACAGCAAGTACAAAGAACAGCATGTCATAATCGCCGATAAAAGTTCATTCCAAAATTATAAATCACTTTTTAGTGATTATATATTTAGATAAATTATTTATAGACGCAGTGATAACGCGGGCGTAGGATTTTCCTGGAAACGGTAAAACGCAGATTCCCCTTGCACCACTATCACCAAAGTGCATCGAATCTCGATCTTTGCAGATACGATAGATTACATGCTTCTGAGGTTGCAACTGGACTCACGGAAAGCAGTGCTTGGACAATCCCAAATCATCTGTTAAGAGAGATGGGCGCAATGATAGGTTGATAAAAACATGAAATCGGGTGCAATCAACATTGCAACGTGAAACGCAATAAACTCAGGTCAGTATAAAGCAGAGTCGAATGCGCATTTCTGTATCAGAGCATAATGGGCTGCCCAACAATTGTCATCCTCCTATCAGTCGTCGGTTGGTCCCTGGGTAAGTTAGAAAAGAAATTAATTACCCTGCCTCCAGGATTTCTTAAATGAATTTCCGATATTCCCCAAGGTGCATGGATATCTCCCATCTCGGTAAAACACGAATTAGCACGAGGGGAATTTTTTAAGTAAGGAAATAAAAAATATTTTCATTGTACTTCCAGGAGCTCTCACCACCCTCGATGCGGGATACGACTTTTCCCGCCATGCTCCCGAGGGAATCCCCATGGCAAACGTGTCCCGTTCACGGATAGTAGGGGGAAGTACAGCTGCAATTGGTGCATATCCTTACCAAGTATCATTACGTCGCCGAGGGAATCATTTCTGCGGAGGGTCCATCATCGGCAACAGGTGGATCTTGACCGCAGCCCATTGCCTTGCAGGGTAACCATAAATTCCAGACCACTCCTTAAATTAATGTTGTACTAATACTTTGCTTATTAATCTATATACCCATATTCATATTTAACAGGTTGGGGCCATACGACGTCCAGGTCGTCGTTGGTACCAACACCTTGCTCTCTGGAGGCACTAGGTACCAATCATCCAGGATCATCATCCACCCTAGTTACGACTCCTACTTGATCCGCAATGACATTGGACTGATCCAACTCAGTCAATCGATTTCCTATAACACTCGAGTCCAACCTATTTCTCTGCCCAGGTCGAATATAAATCAGGCCAATTATCCTGCCGTGGTGACCGGATGGGGAAGGCTATCGGTAGGTTCGGTGATTTCCACCTGAAAAAAATTGAATCAATTAATCCCATAATGGAACCATGTGCCTAGGCCCAGGGGCAACTTCCGAATTACCTGCAGCAGCTCCGCACTCGCGTTCTTCATCAACAATCCTGCCTAAATGTGAACTACCAAGTGACCAACGCCAACATCTGCACTTTTCTACAGGCTGGACAGGGCAACTGCAACGTGAGTTTGTGCAATTATTCATTTTTTTGTGTACTGATCGATCTACATTTGTACGATATATCAACGTATGTAGTAATTCCGTGTCTGGAGTTTACAGTATTTTACGTATTCTCCGAGTCAACGTACAAAAAGGATTTTTTATCTCTTCAGGGTGACTCTGGAGGACCTCTTGTTGCTGGTGGGGTGCAAATCGGAATCGTCTCATGGGGATTTCCTTGTGCTCGAGGCATGCCTGATGTGTACACGCGTGTGTGGAGTTACGTGTCGTGGATTAGAAGTGTCGCCAGTTATTAAAAATTAACCCCGATTTTGCCTTCTCACGTGTAAATGGCACTACGTGATTGCATCCTTCCACCTGTACAAAAAGAGAACATTGGTACCTCGATAATACTCATTCCTCGAAGAATCTTGGATGACTTACTGTTATCTACGGTTCTGATTATACTAATCGGTATACAAATGCAGCACAATTAAGCCTACGTTTACCTGGAGCTTACTCCTAATTTCATAATTAATATTTAATAGACTGTACCGTATAATACTCAGCACGTATAATAGAAAAGGATCCTACTTTTAAAATCTACATTATGTGATACGAATCGCCTTCGCGATTTTTTTTAACATTCCTATAATAATAATAAAAGAAAATGGTATCGGTACGAATTTTGTCCTGCACTTGCAATTATTTTTTATAGTTCTACATCGAATTTGGAAACGCTAATTCAAATTGTCTGATATCCGCAAGCAACTTCGACGGCCTTCTGAGGTATTTTGCAATTGCCAGAGGCTTTTATACCTTCCTTTATTTCCTTTGTCTGAGTTATCAACATCCAAAACCTATCTTATCGGGAATACTCCTCGGAGAAATTTTCCGATAAGATATGTTATTCCGCAAAGCTGTTAATTTCTTTGTTGGTATATTTTAACGCCAGCGGGCTACACATGCCTTCTTAGAAAAAATATAACAATCCTTCATCGGAGTACAAATAATTCTGCGGATATGCAAGCTCCGCGCTACATAAATAAATAAATCAATTTTTGTATCTTTAGTTGCAAATGGAAAAGCCTTTCGGACGCCATTACAAATCGAGGGACGCTGTTCTGATTTACAATGGCCGGATGTGAATTGCCCAACTTAGAACTTATCTCGGACGAGACATGCATTATGCAAGAATTTTCGTGTCTAATATCTGACCTAAATTTAAATATTTCCCGCAGGTGGTACTTTCATGGTCGGTACTATTACGATTTGCCAGTATATATTGCCGAAGGCCTAGAAAGAACGTTCATCGCTGTTCGACGTTGCTCCTAGCTCGATAAACTAAATTTCAACAATCCTCGAATTATACTAAATTAATTAAAAGTACAAGTAAAGCCAAAGATGATAACGACTTCTCTGCTCTTCGGCGTTCTCCTGGCCTTTTCGACATCAGGTACCATTTTTCAAATCGCATTGTTATACCGAATGTTTAATTATTTATCTGCATAGCTGAAGAGGCGCAGGAACCGAAAATCGTGGGAGGTTCGGATGCCGAAGACGGAGCATATCCCTACCAAGTTTCCCTTCGACTGAAAAATCGCCATTTTTGCGGTGGGTCCATTTTAAACGAACGGTGGATTTTGACTGCAGCGCATTGTCTATCAGGGTAGGTTTTCCACTTGATTTTTATATAATTTTCTAGCAAGCCGTATTTTTCTTAATTAATAATGCACTTCCAGGTTCAATGAATCGAAGATCTCAGTCGTGGTTGGGACCAATACATTGGACGAGGGCGGCGACGTTTATAAAGTCCAGAAAATCATAGGACACCCGAAATACAGTTCACTGTTAATCAGAAACGACATTGGACTGATACAAGTGGACACGCCGATTGTTTTTGGCGACAAAGTGAAGCCCGTACAACTTCCCACGGAGAACTTCAAGAAAAACGATTACCCCGCCATCTTGTCGGGATGGGGAACAACCTCCGTGAGTTACATTAAAAATTAATTAACTCTAAATCGTTCTTCGATATTTTTTCCTACGTCCTATCGCTCCACAGTATCCAGGAGATGTGCCGAACAAATTGCAGCACATAACTCTGAGTGTGATCGACCAGCGTGAATGTTTAAACACGTCCCTTCGAGTGACAGACGACAATATCTGCACTCTGAACAAAAAAGGCGAAGGTGCTTGTCACGTGAGTACCCTCGATCACGAAGAGCACTCAAATGCAAGCCCCTCTTCCCACAGTCAATTATTTTCCCTTACAAAATTAACATCCGCGGTATAAAAAATTATTTATGAAGAAAATTGTCCATTTTTCGCAGGGCGATTCTGGAGGTCCTCTCGTGGCAGATGGTGTTCAAATCGGAGTCGTTTCCTGGGGAACACCGTGTGCGAAAGGTCGCCCCGATGTGTTCACACGAGTGTTCAGTTACGTCGATTGGATAAAAAATCATCTGGAACAATAAAGAAAATTTCCGACACCGAGTGGAGGACCCAGGCTCCGATTCTTCGTATCTTGAAGAGATACAATCTCGCTCGCAAAATGCAATCGAGAATTCCCAGATTATCAGCCAAGGATGCAGATTAAGCTAATCGCTGGATCTGACACAGTTAAAATAGAAATTTCTCTATCTACGTACTCGGCGAAAGAAAAATACTAACTTCCAGTAATCCGTACTTCCCATAATTTTACGCCTTCGTCGAATTTCACGATTGTAACCTAGTTTATCGCAATTAATAAACTCGTTGAAAATCCTTTCGAGGTTCTCGGTACAGTTTTCGCGAACGAGTTTATCCAGAAATATGGCTTTTATCTCCTACGAGCACGACTATTTCTAATTAATAGAATTACCGGGCGCTCTCGTTGCAAGAAAACAGTTTTAAAAACACTGATAATACAGGTGAGACCTTGTTACCACGTTGACGTTTTGGACGTCACACGAATAGTACACAGTCATCAAATGACGAGGTATGACGAGAACGCACTGATATCCTCGAACGGCTTAAACAAGAGGAGCGATATCTCTCGACGCGTCGTTATACGAAATTTAATCACTTCTCGAGATAGTCTCCCAAAAGCAAGTATAAGTATACATTGCCGAAAGATTCGCCGAGCAGAATGGTCGTCATGAACACTGGAGTCATTTTCTTGGTCCTGGCACTTCTGGTCTCCATAGACGGTAACGTTGATCATTACTTCTTCAGCATCCAAAAGCAGACTTCCAAAATCTCCTCCATCTAAAATGGATTAAAGTCAAACGGACCCGTAAAATAAATTCCTCGCACGGGATGTCCGAGTTTAAAGGCAAAGCCGAAATTAAATCTAGACGTGTCTGATACTAAATTTTTTCATTGTTTTCACTAGAAGCCAGGTTCATCAACAGCAGGATCATCGGAGGAAGCGTCGCCCAAGATGGTGCCTATCCATATCAAGTGTCGATTCGTGTCAATGGGCGCCACGTTTGCGGGGGTTCCCTTCTCAATCAAAAATGGATTTTGACGGCAGCACATTGTTTAGTAAAGCACAATGCCAATGCCATGTCAATAGTTGTCGGTAGCAACGACTTGTCAACGGGAGGAACTGAATACAAGACGAAAAGGTACATCCCCCATCCGGACTATGTACGTGGTGTTCGCATCGACGACATAGGGCTGCTCGAAGTCAATCAATTGATCGATTATTCGGCCAACGTGGCGCCTGTCGATCTCCCGTTTGCAGACTTCAATGAGAGTGACCAGATCGCCGTTTTCACGGGCTGGGGGTACACCGAGGTATGTCTTTTAGCATTTTTTAAATAGATTTGATTTTTAAATAGTTTCGTAATTTTTTTGTTTAGTCTTTTTTAACCCTTTGCGGAAGAATGTCGCCAAATAGTCGCCCAAAAGCCTTTATAATGGAAAAGTCTCGTCCGCAAAGGGTTAAATAGTTTTTCAGATTTTTCTGTAGAAAAAGAACATATCTCTGTAAGACTTCCTTAATTTGAGTCACTTTAATGGTTCCTCTTGTCCCAGATTAGTAATCTTAAACAGGCGGATTACCTGAAAAGATACATGAAAAAATTATTATCGAGTGAGGGGAAAATCTGAGCTCGACGAGCGTGGCGTCACTCGAGTAATTCCCAATTCCTGGTAACGAGTGTGACGTGTTATCAAAGAGATGGCAAATAAATAGATTATACCAGGGTGTCGGGATTTTCGAGTCAGGTGACAAAGAGTCTGGGTATGTCGAAATCAGCCAGGATTTTTTTCAGGTTTCCGGACCGAATCCCAATGAACTGCAAGTAATCGAATTACGATTAATCGGCCTGGAAGAATGCCGATCGACTTTCTCCTCGGTTTTGCCGTCTCATTTATGTACCCTGACAACCACCGGGGAAGGCCTCTGTTATGTGAGTAATTTTAGTTCCTGTAGAAAATTAATTTATTTAACTTAATCCTTTCGGAACGATATATTTTAACACATGCACGGCATGAAATAAACGTCCAATCGCGATCTTCTACGTGTACTTTTTTTTTTCTATTTGATGTTGTACAGTTATTGTTGACGATATCAATGACGATGAAAGTGTTAAAATGAATAATTGAGTATCTAATTATTAATTACCATTTTCTTTTTTTTTTTCTTGAAGGGCGACTCTGGCAGTCCTTTGGTACGCGATGGCGTCCAAATTGCGGTTGGTTCATGGGGATCCCCCTGTGCAAAAGGATACCCGGACGTCCATACTCGGGTCTACAATTACGTCGAGTGGATAAAAAATATCATCCAAGACTGACCTTGGCATTGCTTAAAGTAAATTACTGCATATACATACTCATAGAAAGATAAAGACTGGAGAATTGTTCCCGTCCGCAGCATGAGCTCATTAAAGTCACCATTTCATTCATATTTTATATACTTAATATATACTTTGTCTATAATTAATTTTTCGTCAGATCTCTCCGCTATTTTTCAGAAAATCGCGCGACCTAGTAGCTATAATGGGTACCTCTAATTGCGGGTAGAAAAACAAATGGTACATACATGCAGTCGGAATTTCGCGGGTCCTCTCTTCGGATATGTGGAGTGAATCCAAGTTCAGAAACCGAAGGAACCCATTTTACCGACCGAACAGGTGAGAGCAGATAGAAAGTCGCTCGTCCGACAGATGTCACTAAACGCTACCGAATCGAATCCTTATTAGAAGATGCCTCAGCTTCACATACTCATTTTGAACAATCCTCTGTTCTAAAAGAATAAAAATGACTCATTAGAATCCATAGCAACATAACTTATACCGACGGTCTGTGAAAATATCGAGGCGAATCACTGACACTGACACAGACGTATACAAATACGAACACAGAGGACGTATAAACATCTCCATATAAATAAAAAAAGAACAATATTTCTATCAATTTGCAGATACCTTAATTTCTAATAATTCTAGAAAATACTTACAAGAATTTATCAAATTTGTTGAACGACGAGATTTCATTGTGAGGTATTAGTACCTACATGTGTATGTATGGATGTGTAGATGTATGTACTTTAAGGGTGCACTGCAAACGGAAGTCCCGCCATTGTCTCGCTCCGTAAAAGTGTCCCACGACCTGAAGTCACGGAACTCCGCCATGATGTCCATGGATATCCTTTTCTCCAGATATTTAATTCCCAGGTCACGTCCCATCCTCCAAAAACAACGACCCTGCCTGACCATCCTTCTCTATGCTCTCAGCATAACCGATGCCCATCATCTAAGATAACCAGGCAACTCATTCATCGAGACACGAATAGCTTGTCCAGAAAAGTCTCTACCTCTAAAAGTATAGTTTATTCAAGAAGCGATAAATGTTCCGTCGAGTGACTCACAATTGTTGAATCTTTTGGTTCCCCAGCGAGGCCTGCGTTCCGATTTCAGATTCCTCGCAATTGAAGTCAGCATGACCACCTCAAAGAATTAAATCCTTTGTCGAATTCCACACCTTCAGTTACTATAAATAAATTTCCCCTAGATATACGAGCAAAAATAAATGGCATATACACATACAATCAGTTCGTCGAGTGTAATTATGGTATATGGTGAAGACGCAATCATGATATATCGTTCAATGACAAAATTCAATGAATTTTACTTTGATTAGAGAGACAAATTGGATTTCACAATGTGATTTTCATTTTTAATGAATCCAATATGGCGTCGCGGAAGAGTATAGTTGAGGTTTCATAAAACCGTGAAAGAATGCGATATAAGGTCGATTTAAGCTTAAAATAAAGTCAACATTAAGTCAATATGAATTTAATGTGTTTATTCGAGCCGCTGATCGTTTTACCCGTGCTCGGATTCCTGAGAATCCTGCGGATGAGAAATCGTCGACTGACCGGTTCGTCAGGGTTGCTAAAACATTTGAGGGGGCGTTGTCATCAATCCCTAGGCGATGAGGTTCGATGAGTCAACGCTCGCCGCTACAAGCTTCGAACGCGATGTCACGAGTGAGTATCGGCGTGGAACGAAAGCTGGGGGATAAAATGGTCGAGGAGCAGGGTATCGTTTTGAGAAATCGATCGGCCGGGGACAGGACTCGTTCGGCTTTGGAGGTTAGTCCGCTCGCGCGTCCTAACTCGAGGGTGCGCGGACGCTCCCAACCAGCGCCAGTTAACGACGGTTTGCAATAGTTTGGGACGGTTTGCAGTAGTTTGCAGTAGTTTTCAGCAGTCTGCAACAGTTTGCGACGGTTTGCAGCCGTCTGCGGTATTTGGAGCACCGGAGGCCGTGCCCTGACCACGGGATCGTGACGTCTCTCGGAATCGACCCTGCCCAACGCAACCGACCTAACCTGGCCTAACCTGGGCTAACTAAACCGCGGTCGTGCACGTAAAAATCTGAAAAAAGGCCAGATATTCATGAAGAACTGAGATAAAGATAAGAGAATAATAAAGAACAAGATATTTAACACAAAATGTAACGCAAACAGACTTAAAGGAACCAACCAAGGGCCAAAAACAACAATTACAACATTGGACTTTGGAAGCCATGAACCACTACCTGGTATTAAAAACGTGAAATACACCTGAAAAATTACATAAAATTAGGTAATATTTAATTGCACAAAATATTTAATGTGGGAAAATTCTGACTTGAAGGAACAAGACTCATGGCTAAAAACCGAGACAGCAACAAGAAGTTTGGTAGGGTGTAGGAAGGACGTTGTCCTTTGATCTAATCTTGGGCTGCGTAATCTGCAGGATTGCGACACTTCTGGGCCTTGGCCAAATTAAGTAAAGGATTCGCAAGAGTCAATCAATCATCCTTAAGTCAATTATTTGGGTGTATACTGAAGATCAAGTTGCATAAATCATTAGTTCCGATCCCAGGAGGATTCCCAGCACCTGGGTCCTTTGGACGTGCCAACACCCTCATCTTGGCCGCCTTGGACCTGATTTATTTCGGGGACCTCGACCTAAGCTCCGTGCCGACTAACTCTACGTTCCAGCAAAAATAAGCAAGGTGGATCAAGGAACGCAACGAGGTTTTGTCGGTCGAGTGGTGAGCGTGACCCAAATCGGGACGCGCATGCTTATCGTTCACGTCGCAGGGGCGACAGAGTTTAAAGCGACTCTCGAGTACGACCGAGTGCCTCCAGAGCTTCGGGTCGACTCAGAAGAGCCTCCACAATTTTGGTGACGACCACGGTGTCTGGAGACTCCCTCGTGTTGAAAGTGTCCTGTCCAGACTGACCCCTCCGTATCCGTAAGACCAGCCGTTAAGGCCGACGTAGACGTCTGACGCGCGTCGCGACGCCCCTCGGCCCGGGAAATCGATATCGTTATAGTTTTCCCCGTAGGACGCGACCCATCGATGGGAACAACGACCCCGCGATTCCCAATCCACCCCTGGTGGAGCGACAACCTCTGATATCGAGTCTTATCGCGGCCATTCGGCCCGGTGCATCGATTTGACCCGATGGAATTGGGGACCGGGTCTACTGACTCGGTCAGATCTGGTGTTCCCTAGTGAACCAGGTAATTTCCTAGTGAAACCGGTGATTTCCTAGTGAACCTGGTGTTCCCTTGTGAACCGATTGATTCCCAAATCTTCCACCTGAACCGAAATGTGGTCACGAAGACGTATCGGATTTTTGGGAAACGGGGTCGGCTGACTTCTGGGAAGAATTAAGTGGAACTGTGAAATCATTAATTAGAAGAAAGTCGTGAAGAAGAAGAAGACACCTTTCCTTCTGACAACGACCTCACTGACGAAGCCTTCATGAGCTGCTGTCCCTTTATGTAAGTATACTTGTGTGGCCACAAATGTGGAGCGAATATAATACCATTAGGATATCCCGCTGGCAAAGACACGGTAAACGGATAATTGAATTTAAGGGATCACTGGGATCGAAGATCCCTGTGCATCTCTTGGTGATTCCCTCAATCACAAGGTATGAATTCCTGGGGTTTTTAGTAACAAAAAAATTGTATAAACAAAATATTACGAATTTATGTCTAAACCTGATATATTTACGACGCTTTGGTAAACACTTCTGGCTGGTGGTACTATTCACACCCGTTTTGTTCGGGTCCAAGGGGTTTGTTTTGGTGGAGGGTTGTGGGGACTCGTTTTAACGCTAGGTTTCCGCCTCGCTGATCGGCAAATTTTCCGAAGCCCAATATGCAATGCTAATTTCACACGGCTGCACAAAGAGCGATATCAAAAGGAAGGCTTCCTTGAAAACACCGTCCGAAGCAATGCGAGCACCATGAGCGACGCGTGCACGTGGAACAAAAGGGGGTTTCCCACTTTGAGCTGGTTTCTCGAGTGAGTGAGCACCGATAAAGTACACATTTGCGTGCTTTGCTTCACTAGACCAAGCCAATTAAGAGGTTACGACCCCGCCGGTCGACCACCCGGTGGTCAAACCCAACGGTCCAACCCTGGAGTCGATAGGAACACGACAAACCGTATACATTATATGAATAATAAATTGGACAATTACCATGATGTTTTAATAATGAGGCACCGTATATAAGAGAGAACATTTTTTAAAGGGACGATCTGTTAAATGCCTTGAGAGAAGAGAAGGTCTCGATCGAGCGCCAAGAAATTAATGATGTACGACGGCTGTTTGCCAAGCATTTCCACGTCCACAAACGAGCACGTTTCGGGAGCCTATCTCATTGTCTTCCGTGCATTGTTAGGACGTTTGCCGTTGAAATGAAGCATAATGGAGCCATGACTCGCGGCGGTTTGGTGCAGTTTAGGCGACATTAATGCGACGCCCTGCATTCACCGCCCATGACAGTATGACCTAGCTCAACAACGAATCCGCCCAGCATTTTACGTACAATAGGATCTACGCAATAATCCTCCCAAGTGTCATCGCGTGTTCAAATCCGCCGTAACCGTGGCCAGATTCTAATTATAACGACACACGAGACCACGGAAACGCCGGCTCGATAGGAGGGTACCCGTGATACCGTTTAAAAGTTGGGAGAGGGTTTCCATTCCCAATGGGAGAACGAAACCGAGAATTCTACCGGCTATTTCCGAAGGCGACATTTCCACAGCCCACGGCGGTGTAAAGTTACGTCGATTGAGATCGTCCCGTTTTACAATGCCTTGTAAAACGCTGAGACGGCAGATGACTCGTGTGCCTGAGAAGACGTACACTGTTCTCCTTATTAAAACGAGTAAATTGGAGCAACGGAAAATAATCGCCCGCGTGGGAGGAGGTTCGAAAACAAAATGATGGGATAATGACGGTCCCCACCCCCCGCACTTAAGAACGACGCTTTATTTCCATTACATATTAACGAGACATTACAGTTTCTAATTGACATCTTGAAACATGATCGGTGTTCGCCTTCCGGGGACCCCCTACGCTGCAAGGCTTCCGATGCGAAGGACGACTCCACCAGTCAATAACCCTGCCTTCTCGTTTCAGAATACTCTAAATTCTATATTTGAGAGCATTACTCACGTGCAGAGACTCCCGAAGTCGTCCGCCCCACTCGGTCGGCGTTAACCTAAGAAAAAGAGCAGACGCCGAATAAAAATCGTTCCTCAACGTTCGCTTAATACCTTCGCAATAGGGGGAAGATTCCTTCACAAGGCTATAGCGCGCCTTGGTACCTAGAACGTAGAAAAAAGAAGGAAAAGGGTATAAAAGCGTAAAAAGGTGGAAGAGGTTAGAAAATGCGGGTACTCGGCCGAGCGTCGGTGCCCATGGTCTCTCGGGCGTGCACGTGCCTTCTATTTATCATTTTTCATCACCCTGAGAGCTCTGTCTCCGTCCACTGTCCGTAGCGCGCATCGCAGCGTCTCCCTCTCTCCTGCCACGGGCCGTCGCTCCGTCTCTCCACTCCTGACCACGGGCCGATGTCGCGTCTCTCTCTCCCCCATGTGCGGGTCATCGCTCCGTCTCTCTCAGTGGCGTTGCACCTCGATGCCGGCGCGGCCACACGCGGCGTTGCGCGCGCCTCCTGAAATGCGAGACCGCGTGTCTTGCCCCCTCCACAACCCCTCTGGTCGTTCACACAGTGCGCGCGCACGCACCATACCTGTGCACGCGCGTCCATGTGCGTATGCACTATGCATAGCGCCAGAACTCGGTAGATATAATACGTCACGTAAAATACACGTTTTCTACGTCTACGTTACAGCGTCGAAAGAAATTTTAACGCGAGTCATATTAAATATTCCTTATAAATGTCTACGGGTTTACATGCGCGCTAAAAGACGTTTATAACCTAGCGGATACATAAATAATGTATTGGAAACGTCATTTACTGGTTTTCTACGATTTTCTACAATAAACTACGTGATTTACGTAATATACGTCAAAAACCTCAAAAAACGCGAAATTACGAACCCTGCATAGAGCTCTATGGCACTATTTATGCAGCTGAGCCATTTCGCACACGCCGAGCACGCGATATGCGCGTAGCAAATTGCCGGATTTCCGGTTTCTCGAGTAATCGAAAATGAATTCGAAACCCGTTCTCAATAGACTTTCGAGAGTGCTTTAAAAAACAAAATCCCTCCATGGTAACGGATCCTATTCGATACGTTTATATTATAAATTTCCCCTTAGAAACAAGAATTTAGGGGAGAATCGGGAGCGCTCACCATAGTGACGCTTCTCGTTTACACGTATTTCTAAATTCGCGTCACCGCCACCCCCCGCGTTGGGCCAGCTGTGGCTTGCATGGCGCCACGCGCGCACCTCGTTCGCGCAGCTGCGGCGGTCCATTTTTACACACTCGCGCGTCGCGCTCTGTGCAGCTATGTAGTATGTAGATGGCGCGCGCCTGCGCGGACCCGCCGCGCGACTATGCTAATGCGGCATGTGCTCACGGTCAGCTGTGCGTGCAACGTGTACCCGATGCGTATGTACCTACGCGTACCCTGAACTTTCTGACTACCTCGATCATCGGACCTGATAGGGAAAACGCATCGTTATGAATATGAATCGTTACTTTGCGTGGTCGATTGCGCGGCAAATGCGACTAATGCGACGCAGAGCGTTTCTAGGGAACGCTTAGGTTTGCGCCTTCAGGCTACTCGAGGTCGACTCGTGCGCACGCCGTCCGCGCAGCTCAGCCTGTGTTTTCTTTGTGCGGCACGTGAGGCGGGTGCGCTGCACCGGCTGCATCGGCGAGTTCGCAGCACCTCGGAGCGCGCTACGGTGCGCAGGCGCTCGATTCTCAGATCTCGCAGTGGTTCGCAGTCGCCCCGTCGCGCTTTGTTTATGGCGACGGAGATGGAGACGCCGAAGCGCCGCGGATTTTGACAGGCTGGTCGAGTCCGGTCGCGGCGCCCGTCGTGAGTGCAGCGTCTTGAGAGGTTAGGTCGCGCTTCGCCGCGGACAATGGCTCTCCGAGGACGCGGAGCGTCCACGCGATATCTTCCTCACCCTGCTTGAGGAACCCCTGGTGCGATGTCCTGGAACGCAAGTAGAAACCCACGCTGAGAAAACCAGGTTTAAGGCGCGGGAAGATCCAAGAAAAAGTCTCGAAAAGTCGACATTCGCCGGAATATTGCGTAGCGTCTTCCAAGAACTCGCAACGCGTGTTCGAACTTCGAGGAAGGATTTTCTGAGGAGCTGGAGATTGGAAGATAGAGTTTGCAATGTCTTATACAAATTTCGGAGACGCATAGAATATTTATGAAAAATATTCTGAATTGGAGGATGCTTCTTTGTTTCGGAGCAACCAATGAGCTTGAGGAATATGGAATAGTGCAACGATCGATGAAAGATTGGATGTAATTTACATATCTGCTGGAGTAGCGTCGGCTGATGGTGGAAATAAAAGAATTCGTTGTAAGGCAGTGGGAAATAATTATTTCTTGACAACTCGAGGGAACGCATTACTCGTCGCTACATGTGCCTTGAATTTTCTGAAGCGTCGACAGGTCTTAGTTCAATATGGAAGCGCTGCGTTTAGCCATTCAGTAAGTTTATTCTTGAGTCGAGTGCTCCGCTGATTCATCTCTGTATTTTAACAGCGATGAAATTATTTAAATGTGAGGTTATACTCTGGAGATGCTTTAGCGAGGTTGCATGCGAAAGATTGAATTTCTTTCATGCAATGTTTCTAGTTATGCCAGTTGTATAACTTAATGGTTTTATTAGTACAATGCAAATTACTGTCTGAACTCGATCTTGCATGTATTGATAACATTGCGATTTACGTAACATTTTATATAATGGTTTCTTGTTTTCCAAAGGACCCGTCTCGGGGAGAGGATGGTCAGCATGAGCTCCATGCTCGTGGAAACAGTCAGCATAAATTATGAAGATTTCAATGAGAGTTTCCTAACGTGTGGCACTTGCCTCTGTGTTTACGACGGTAGCGAACATACTCCAAAGTTACTGCCATGCTCCCATACGGTAAGCGATAGTTTCGTAAAATCAGAAATCTATGTCAGTTACCACTATAAATATTAACCTTCCCTTAATCCTATAATTAATTATATCCACAGGTATGTTTGCACTGCCTAACCAGGATCGCCGCCTCACAGACCCGAGAAGCAGGAGCTTTCCGTTGCCCGATCTGTCGCGAGTTGATAACAATTCCTCGTGGTGGTGTTCCTGCCTTACCTCCGAGTTTTCTCGTGAATCAGCTTCTAGATCTCATGTCTAGGCAACGTCGGGAGGTACGTCAATCCTCATATTTGAATAATCCACAAAAATTTCTATCCCACCCAACACGACACAAACTCAAAACAGACAGATTATCAAGCATCGGTATGTCCTAAACAGCTACTAAAAATAAATAGTATCCCCCTCAATCGGCATAAACTATGAATTTACATTTACTGTTACAGGTGATCCCAAAATGTTCCGTGCACATAAACCAGGAATTGCTTTTTTGCGAGACATGTGATACAGTATTTTGTACGGTATGCACAGGCGGAAGTCATTCTGGCACGTCACCAGGCTGCACCGAACACACTATCATCCCGTTTAGCATCGCTATCAAAAGAATGTCTGAGATATTGCTTTACAAAGCGAACGAGTGCATATCCAAGGTGCGTAATCGTCGGTAATTTAAGACTACTTATCTAGTCAGGAAGCCGAATGTGAAAAAAAATACGCGACCCGCGATGGGCGAGCAGACTTTGAATTAAACGGTTTTCTCTTTTGCCTTAGCTGACGCAGGCACAAGAATCGGTGGGTGCTGAACTTCGGCGTTTAGAAACAGCCACCGAGAAATGTCTGACTGCCGTCGACACGGAGTTTGCAGAAATAATCGCAAAGGTCGAGAGACGGCGCGCTGAGCTGCAGGCTGCTGTCACCGAAGCTGCCAGAGACAAGAAACACGTCCTGGAGGAACAGCACGCGTTAATCGAGGCTGAGAAAAATAAGGTCGAGAGAGAATGCGATGGTCTGCAGTATCAGGTACTCTTCGTCATTTTAACCATATCCAAGATTGCCATATTTAATATAAAACGCCTGAAAAGAAATTTGACTTATAGCTCGATCTTTTTTAGGTCGAGGTGCGAAACATCACTCAGCGGATTGGAAGCTTGTCCGACCAGCTCGACGCTGCTGTTGCTCTAAGTGAACCCAGAGAGAACGCTTTTATCACGGCAGAGTTCAGTCATAACGACGCTCTGGCGGAATTCGAACGAGCTTTGAATATATTTGGACGAGTACGGTCTAGTACTACACTGCCAGGTAGGGAGATCGACTTGGAAGTGTGAATTTGTTGTTTCAAGCTTGTTTTTTTTTAATGTGTTTGATGTTTTGCCAGGTCTCTGTCGGGCAAAGCTGAAGGATCCAGCAGTCGCCAAGTTGCAGGCAGCAGCGATCGTCGAAACGGTGGATTATCATGGTCACCCCCGAAACGCGGGGGGCGACCCCATCGCCGCGGAGCTCACCCTGGCTGATGGCATTAATTCCGAGGTCCAGAACAATCAAGTCGAGGTGGAGGTGAAGGACTTGGACAACGGCATGTACGAGGTGCTCTTCAGGCCACCCTCGGCCAATCGTTACGTCCTGAAAGTGTCCGTCTTCGAGCGACCTATAAAAGACTATCCGCTATTCTTCGACGCCACCGAGCACAACGAACCTGTGAAAATATACGGAAGACGCGGCCATGGGAAGGACGAGTTTCATCAACCAGTCGCGGTGGCGGTTGATGATAATGGGACTATCTATGTCGTGGACACCGGGAACTCCCGAATCAAGGTATGTAATCCTTGAAGGATAGTCGTCGGATGGAACCATGAGGTTTTATATTTATTTTACACACAGGTACTTGACGAGAAACTGGAATTCCAGAGACATATAGTGAACGAAGGGTTGGAAGGACGAAGTTGCACGGGAATCGCCGTCTCGGAACAGGGGCTGGTGGTTGTGAACTGGAGAACGAGGACCGTTACCGAAATGACGCTCCATGGAGACACTATCAGGTCTTTCTCCCACAACGCGTTTCAGGTCGGTGGTGGTTACCAAGGAAATAGTCATCATTTTGGACAAGTCCTTTAATTCGGAGGACTTATTTAATTAATGGGATTTTTTGTATTAACTCGTAGGAGCCCATTGACGTAGCGGTGGACAGAAGCTACGGACACGTGCTGGTGGCGGATAATGGACAGAGCTGCGTGTTCGTCTTCGACTCGGATGGAAAAGTCCTCTTCCAGGTTGGCTCCTGGTCTAATTCCTAATTTCTAGATGCCAGTGGATAAAGGAGTATGTCCTGTATTGATATTTCTTGCATTCTTCTCGAAAGGTCGGGAAAAGAAGCGTGTTCAAGCTGATCAGCTCCGTGACCGTCGGCCCGGCTGGGGAGATCCTGGTCGCGGATTCGCGAATTCAGGTGTTCTCCGCTAAAGGCGACTTCTCGGAGGAGATCTATGCAGAAGGGAAAGGTAATTGGAATTAGTCTCTTGTGTGTTTAATAACAAATCTGTAAATCTTCCTCGCTTCCACCAGGCAAAGGCAGGTACGGAGGCATAGCCGTGGACGCGGACGGCAGAGTACTTGCATCCCGTTGTGATAAGGGTCGCACTATCATACAAGTCCTCAAGTTAGGGGGCGGCGCAGTCTTGACCGAGATCGATTCTCACAGCTCGAAGTTACGTCGACCATCCGGAATAGCCGTGCTGCCCGACAACCATCTGGTAGTGGTCGACCTGGGAAACGACTGTGTCAAGAAGTACAGATACTGGTAATCGTAATCTACCGTACCCGTGCTCCGTTAATCGCGCAACTCCAGCATATTGTTGGGGCGGACCTTCGACAAACGTGGAACGCCGTACAGATGATAAAAAGAAAAAGGTGATCGCTTATATTAATTTAAATTTAGTTCTTATTCGGTACCACTTTGTACCGACCACTGATAGCGGTTCTTCACTCGACTCCGTTTATATCCCGCGGATGAGGTCGAAGAACGGCAACCAGAGACCCGATTCTCGAATTTATGCGATCAACTTTCGCATGGGAAATTAATAGTTTCGTGTACGGTTTTCAGACGTTGATCAATGACGCGGCTTTGCAACGATGCAACATCCTTTTATGCGAAACTATTCGTAATATGCGATAATGAAAATCCGTGTTAACTCGAGAATCGGGTCGCTGGGAACGATCCAGCAAGTCGTCGATCGACCGTTGCTACCGTTACATGACATTACTTTGTAAACGTACATTGTCGCACTCGTCCTCGAGGAGTCTGAGAGTTAAGTTGAAGTCTTAATCGGAGGTGAACACTCGCACAGCTCGCTCGAGGTAACTGGCTGTGAACGTTGTTCATTGAGCAAAAAATACTAAATCTAATCGTTTTCTAGAAACCGTCGAAGTCTCTCTCGGTATGTCGAGGCGCAATCGTTTCCTGCAACGCGAGTACTCCTCAAAACCGTTCCGCTTGCTTGTAAACGCTTTTCGCGTTAATGAGCGTGCCGATCTAGAGTAACTACAAGTGAGATTTTTGTTTTTTTTTTCTTTTCTTAGTTATTGATAACCGATCGGATGACAGTGGAAAATGGAGCGTTGCCGATTGTCTTTCTCTCGTTTCTCGTAAGCGTAGAACGGTTATCGGGGGTTTCGGTTCTTTTAGACGTCCACTTATGACGTTCACTTGTTGACGATAGGTTTAAGGATGCGCGAAGTCACGAAACAAGCACTGCCTTTTTTGAAAATTTTCAAAGCACACGGGCAATGTTTAAGGCACTCGAGTAACGAGCTCGGCCTCTTGCCGGATAATAGACCTGTTAAATAGACTTCTTTCCGGCCCGTCTAATGAATCGCCTGATAAAGGTGTCCAGAGGGAGAATTTCTGTCGGAAATGTCTCACTGACAGGCTTTTTAGTTCACGTTTCTCCTCGCCGGGCATGTTCATCACTTTGAATGGACGAAACGCTCTAATCTATAGACAAGGTAGACACGTGACAATTAAGCGCAACATTCCTACGACTTTGTCGAGACACGTGGATAACTAATTTCAGGAATCAAACGCCACTTTAATATGTCACGACTGCACGAGTATCCAAGAGTTACTCCTTTATTGTTGACACGTTTGGTATTTACCTAGGGCCACGGTCACCATTGCCATTTTAAAACGAGAGACGCGGAGGTTAATTGTTGTAACATAAGAAGAAGAAGAAGAAAAAAGAAAAGAGGACTGTTAGATAGAACTTAAGGGCGTAAGAATTGTACATATATTTTTCTCAGTATTATTACATAGCGCAATTCCTAGCGTAACGATTGTACGATAACGCCGAACCTTAATTGATGCTGCTTGCTCGTTGTTAAGCACACTTCTACATTGAATGGCGATCGGTCGGATCGCTTTGACATTACGTTGTACATAAATTGTATGAAAATGGACTAGTCTTCTAGGGAAACAACTCGGCGAGTTGTGAATGGCCTTGAAATCAGTTCTCAAAGGGGCGAAGAGCTCCTCTTCGGGGGGCTTCGCCTCGAGATAACGTCGTTTTTAGACCTTATCGGTACTCTGTTGTGTCCATCCAATGTATTTTCTAGACCTTAAGGCGGATAAGAGTCCACGCACGGCAGAGTATTACTTAAGAAAAAAAAAAAAAACCCCTTTACACGTAACGTTAACGTTCACTCGTGTTTTTCTTCCTCTTTTTTTCCCCTTTTTGTTGTTTTATCTTCGCCTTTTTGTAGCCACTTTTTTAAGAAACGTTCGCTTAAACTTAGTCTATCGTAATGTGTCATACAACGCATTAAGCAGCGTTTATTGTCGAACTGAAAGGACGAGGGGGGAGGGGAGTGGAGAATGGGAGGGGAGGAAATCGAAAGAGAAATCACTTGATACTTCGAAGTACCAAAGTCGATTGCGAAGTTTCGACTCGGTACGTGTACACGTTATTTGTGAGCAAGACCGATTAAACCTGTTTTATAATTTTCATCTGCGTGACTCATGATTTGAACGTCGAATTAGAGAATTAGCCGTTTTCGCCGAGATTCTCGGCAGCTCCACGGCTTGAATACTCATTTACTGGACTAGAAACATTGGTTCGTTCATGTCTTCGTTATGTACGAGACATTCCAGGGCGCATTTTGTACAACAATCTCTGTAGACGCAGGTGCAAACTCCAAAAGTTACGCTTGGACCTACGAATTTTCTTTTCACTCGGTAGAAAATTTCTTTTCGAGGAAAAAACAAGATGGCCGCGATTGGTGTGCACGTAACTCGTGTCCCGGTACTAATAGTCTGCGTAACAATTAATTCCGAGCTGGTACTAATCTCGCGAAACGTTCGAAAAGCGACGTAAGTACCCTCGAACGTGGTTTACGTACTTTTCTTGGTTTATTTCTTGACATGAACTGTTGAAACGTCGCCGACCGATGTTCATAGGCTCGAACCAGCGGATCGTCGCAAAGCGTAGCAATATTTGTTAAACGATATTCCTTAACGATGACCCGATTGTCGAGAATTCCTGGAGATTGGAAATTGAAAGCGTGAGCTTTTCGTCCCATGGCCTCGAAGAACTTACTCGAAGGAGAGATCGTTAAACGCGCGTACAATCGATCCCTTACGGTGATGTCAAAGGGCCATTCTATATTCATAAAACGCGATATTGTTTATAAAACCATTTCTCCAAACTGCACCAAATAATCTGAAACTTCAGCATGTGATTACGAAGACCCTAAGGAAGGTGATGGTTGTGAAATTTCATTTAAAAAAAAATGACTGTTTTTATTTAGCCTGGACTAGAACCAAAGTCACTTTTTTTTTTGTGGAAAATGAAATTTTACGTGCATCGCGTTCTTCCTTGGGGCCTTCATGATCACGTGCTCAAGTTTCAAACGATTCAGTGCACCCAGAAGAAAAGTTCTATAAAAATTTNTTAAAATTTCAAATCACTCCTTCCCCCGAGTTTGGAGAAAAGTCGTACATATATATATTTTGACGTTTCGATGTATATAGAATGACCCTTTCATTTCACCTTAATCGACGCACCCGTCCTACCTAATGATATTTTGTTAAATCTAGTCATGTCCATTAATCCTACATCTCTCCGCAGGTTCGACCACACCGTGTTACATGACATGCTGTATAAAGACAGGTCTTTGTAAATAAACTAAAGCTTAATTCTTCGGTGCAAATTGGAGATCTCCTTTATTAATGTTGCCAGCGTGTACCAGTTTAAAGAAGTGTCTCGGACGAGGATTACCGTTTCCGCCGTGCTAATTGGGCGTGCATTAATTCACGCGAGTTTATTCACGTGACCCTGTACGCGCGCCCTGTGTCGTCGCAATTACAGAAAAGCAAAGCGTCAGAAATTTGGAACGAACGAGATGGAGAAAGAGGGAACGCGCTGGAAAATCCCAAATTTAAAAATCTCGCCTCAATTACAGTAACTCGTGAGAAATTCGGAATGAAAAGTGGGGAATCGTTGAAAATGTCGAATTTCAAGATGGCGTCGCAATCACAGAAAAGCAAAGTGTCAGGAATTCGGGACGAAGGAAATGGAGAAAGAGGAAAAAAGGGAAAGCGATGAAAAATCTCGCCGCAGTTAGCCGCGTCCCCGTGTCGTCGCAATTACGGAAATTCGTGAGAAATTCGGAATGAAAAGTGGGGAGCCGTTAAAAAAATGTCAAATTTCAAGATGGCGTCGCAAATCCCTCGCTCTCGCGGGACCCGAAACGCGACGCTGCATTCCTTTCGTACGGTTTCTCCATCTTTTTACGGTTGATTCTTTTTTTCCCTCGAAGCGAAGAAACGATTCCCGGCAATCCGTACCCTAGTTTTAAGATGATTTTTCTCAATTTTTTTATCCCTTACCTCCTTACGAGTCGCGCTTACAATTACCGCTATAAGCGGCGCAAATTACGCGCGCACCGCGTCCACTTTTAAAATTCGAGCGAAACGCTCCTTTTTTATTTTTTTTCTTTCTCTTCCGTCGCGGATTCCTTTTCATTTGCGCAGACTAAGGCCGCCTCACTCGACTCGGTGCACTCGGCTCTTGTATTCCGGTCACTTAAAAGCGTTATTGTGCCGATCGATTCTCTTGCGATACCCCGAACGCACGATGCGCGCCATGCCCAGCCACCTGAAAAATGTCCAGGGATTAAGCAAACCTCCCATGCGAATACGCTACCCATCATACTATGCCCTCTTAAATTTCTCATCTCACGGGTAGAGTTTCTATCGGCAGCCTTATCGACGATTTTTGGTCGCGCTGTAAAAATTGAAAGCCCTCTTGGGGCGAAATTTCGGGGGAATTACTGGAAAATTTCCGCTGGAGCGAGCGAAGGCATTGGATATTTATTCAACGTCGAGGTCGTACCGAAGTAATCGTCAAACGGCGGGCACGACTCGTATACCCGGGCCCTATATTCCGAAATTGATTTAAACTTGATTTCCCGGGGAAGAAAATACGAGGTAATCCTCCGTATCGCGAAGTGCCCCCCTCCCCTGGGCGTAAAAGGTGAAACTCCGAAAGGAGCATTCATACGTAATACGCGGGGCGTATAGCGTACGCGCGTACATGCTCTCTCGTAAGAACCTGCCGTATCCACCTTGCCCTCCCCCAGGCTGGTGAATGCGTACATAGAACGTGGACGCATACCCACAACACGTCGGGCCGGTGTACATGCCCCCGACATAGATAAACCGTGGATATACCATCTCACGGGGGGTTATGTGGCACATATGTACCCGCGAGCTCGCTCTACCCACCATACATAAACCACGGTTCGCCCTCGGCTAGGCGGCCGATCTCGGTAGGGCTCGGGGCGGAGATCGCCGCGGCGAGGGAGCCCCGCGTCGGAGCGCAGCCCCGCTCGTCATAAAACACTCGAATTAAGATAGACGAACGAGTGGCGGGCACGGGGAGACGCGAGGATCCCTGTCCCGGCGGCGTCGAGGGGGCGGGCCCGCCTCGACCAATCGCGAGCCGCGGCCCAACGGAAAGCGCCCGTGAGCGCGCGCGATCCAAGGGAAAGCGCGCGGCCGGGTCCACGGACCTTGGCGCGCGGGGAGAGTCACTGCCGCGGTCCCGGCTGGTCCCGGCGCGAGCGAGAGGGCGGCCCGCGCGAGCGAGACGGCCATAGACGCTGGCGACGCTACGGTGGTAGTGAATGGAACGCGGCCCCGCGGCCCGGCGTAGTACGACGCCTGGTCGGTGCTCACGGAACCGACCAATCGCGGCGCGGCGCGGCGGTCACGTGACTCGCGGCTCGAGCCAGCAGAACATCGCGAATGACAAGACGCGCGCGGCCGCCGCGGACCATCGTCCCTCCTCGTACCTGCTCGCAGAGGACTCCGAGGACCGCCGTCGACCAGGCCAGGGTGAACCGAGTACGCCCGGGAGTCTGACCTCGAGGAAGCCGCCGACGTCGGGCCGCGAGGAACGGCGGCCGAACCGCCGCCACCGCCAACGCCGCCGCCGCCGCTGCCGCCGCCGCCGCTCAGCGCGCCTCCGCGACGCCGAGACGCCGCGCGCCGCGTCCGTCTACATGACAAAATGTCGGGGTCCCAGCGGGTGCGAAAGTCCTCGCCGTGCTCGACGGCGAAGCAGGGCCCCATGCGGGCCACTCTGCCCGTGAGCTCGCTCCTCAGGCAGAGCAGACAGGCCAGCAACCTCAGGAAGAGCAACGGCAACAGCCCGACCGTCTCGCCGACCAACGCGAACGCGTGGCGGGCACGCATCTCTCCGGAGACCTCCTCCTCCTCGGGGCAGCGGAGTCCCGGATCGCTCTCCTACAAAGGTAGGAACGAACGCGGAGGACGCGTCCGAGCGGGCCGACCCTGCGCGCCGACCGCCGCCCCCAGGAGGCGACCGTCGACCGCTGGAATGGCGTACAGGTTAAGGCCCGCGGCTAGGGTAGGCCCGGCTGGAGAGGTTCTTCCAGGCGCCCTGGATCCTCCGAGAGGACGGACTCTGGCCACGATTTTCTCCGGTTTCTGTTAACTCTTGAGTAAAAAGGTACGGCTTTTGAATGCTGCTCGATGGAACCGTGGACAAGGAGAGGTAATTCCAAGGTTTGGGGGACTCGGTGTAGCAGCTGCAGGGGTTGGATTCTGAGGACTCTTCTGGGTGTGGAGCTAAGGGGTGAAATGTACTCTCAGGGGAATTTTTGGGGGATTTTTTTTAATGCTTTACGATTAGTTTATTGTAACTATTAGTGGTCCAGAAGAGGAATCGACTTTAGGATCCTGCGGTACGATACTAGGTGCATGGGGTGGTCGATCGATGGATGAGAGGTTAAAATCTAGAGAAATTGAATATTTTGGGGGGGTAGATAATGGATTTTATGTGTTCGTAGACATTGAGGCATATGTTGATCTTGATAAAAAGTGAGACATTTAAGTCTTGAAATTTTGGGAGCGTAAGGACTCTCGATTGGGTGTGGATGCCTTCATTCTTTATCCATTCCGATTACTTGGATGGTCTTAAATTTAAGGTAACATGAAAGCATTCTTGAAGCCGTTAACTTGACGTTAGGAATTTAAACTTAACTTTTTAATGGAAGATAAATTTACTTGTGTTTACAAATAGATTTATGTAAAAATAGTTTTAAGGAGAGAATACCTAATGTTCAAGGTCATGATTTGGAAAACGAGATTTTAAGTACACATAGCCGCTGCTACATCTGTTAACGGCATCCAATGAAATATGGTTGGAATCCCTGGGCCGTGCCTTGAGCGTTTCGTTCATGACCTGTGCGTGTCACGGTAGTAACTACGATACTTCATTGTGTATATACATGGAACGGGCTATTATGAGCGACTCTATTAATAATGGTCATTTGAAATAGTCTTCAGTGCTGTACGACAGCTACGAATGCATTTGATTATCGGCCACATTTTTTCTAGTATGTATTCCATGTCAATGTTTGTTTAATTATCATAAGCTTTAATTTTTTAGTTAATCTCTTTTACTTGGAATGTTTTGAAAAAATAATGAAAGGCAATATTGATAGAGCATCCTGTCAATGCGGTTGACTGATAAAAAACAGTGCTATTTTAAAATTATAATGTCTTTCCGGACTCACTACTGAATTAGCGTATAGTTAATAATGCTTGTTATATTATTTATTTCAAATCTGGCAGCCGAACATCATATTCTTAGCTCGGTTGTGGTTTATATTTTCCTTACCCACGCAAGTGATTCATGAAATGTAATCGACACTTCTTTAGCAGTATTTTGTTTGCTAATTGCAGTTCCTCTTTCATTGCAGCCAAATCAAAAACACTGAGTGGTCGCTGCAGCGAAAGCTTAAGCGGCAGTCAAAATATCCGCCGAACAGCATCGCTGGACACAATCTACTTAAAGGGACAATGGCCCCGTGATTCATACTATATTCACACCAGTCTCTTACTGGTAGACAAGTCTACTCAGGTGAAATGATTTCTAAGTACAAATCATCGGACAGTGGTCCATCATCGTTGTTTGAATTCTGTACATTTTCCAGACCGAGGAATGGTCCAACGAGCCACGAAAGATGCATGGTCGTCATCCTCCGGAACAAACCACTACCGATGAGAAACTGGAAAAGTACATCAGGCATCGGTACGGCATGTCACTATTCGCTGTTCTGTCAAGTACATTAGGCAAACGAAATTATATCCAATGTTATTTATATCAATTTCAAATATAGATTACAGCGTACCAATAAGGAAGGTACGAGCAGTAGGGAAAGAACAGCTGCATTCGGACTCATCATGCCCAGCGGACCACCACCTGCCCTTCCGGGAGACCATACAGTACTCCTACCAAGTATTGCATCGCAAACACCCATGCGTAAGTAGAGCACTATAAAATTGATATTAAAGAAAAAAAGAAAGAAAGAAAAAAATGACACGTGCAATAACCATATACAGACAACCAGTTCAGCTTGAATACAAAAGCGAGCCCCATGAACATACCAGTGAAACCGATGAGGCCACCTATGCGATCCTCCATCGAAGGGCTCAATCAAGAGATCGAAGGATTAGTGCTCAAGTCCACAGCCCAAACAAGTGATTCGGAGCATCCTGTCGAAGACAAGGTAAGCGATACCCAAACATAACCTCTTTCTCCTCCCTGAAGATTTATTTTTTTCTTACCAACACCTTTTGTGCCTAATGAAACTCAGTTGAGAGTAAGTAACCGTGCTGTGCCCTAAACCATTGTAATAATTTTCCTATATATTTATCGATCTCAATGGCGCTAATTGGCCACACGTCCAAGGAGTATTTACCGTGGCGTTGGCCTTGATCGTATTTAAAGAAACTACCTATATAGAACCCTGAAGTTCATTCAATGTGAGTCACTACGTTACTTGAACTCGGTCCAAATCACTCGGTGCTCCGACAATTGATAGCTCAATCGCCCACATGGCCGACGCTTTTATTCTTTTTTTCTCTCTCTTTACTTCATAAGGAACATAAGAAATCGATCACCAAAAGGATGACTCGCGTAACACGCAGAAACGTTTTCTTTCTTTTTGTAAATTCTAGTACGCGAGATATCGCGAGCAGATGACACCCGAGGGACACCGAGCTCCATTGGCGGACCTTTTGAGGGCCACTCGAAGCGTAAACACGCAAACTCCAGCTACCGACCTTCCCTCCAGCTCGTACTCTTCAGGTAATTCAACATCTTCGGCACTCTCTTCGTGTACCGAGCCCGAAGCTACGCGAACGTCTCGACATTACGTCGCGAACGGTCCTTTTAATCGCTGGGCTCTTAAATACGATCAACCAGAGCTCGAACGTTTTCCGCGGTTTATCATAATTGTTGTGAATCCACGATATGCGTACGGTGTATCGAGTAACCGACTAACAATGGTGTGCGCCTGCTTATCAAACAGGCCCTCCATCTAGGAACTCAGAGTCGCCGCTGATACCCGGTGTTATGGATGCCTCCCGTCCGCCTAGCGACCTCCCACAAGGTTGGCCTCCCATGTGGCAGCAGATCTCTTACCTCTTGTCACCCTGGTTCCGTTTTCGTCCTGGAATTGTTACGACACACCTGTTTATCTCCGTCACCTGCCTGTTTGTTCGCATCGTCGACACCTCGTACTACGTCCGGTCTTCCCGAAGCATGCGCATGCTGCCAGTGTGTCGACGAACGTCGTCTTCGGTTGTTTTTCATTTTTTTTCTTTCTTTATTTTTTTAACCCATGTCTTCATCATTCACGTAGCGACGTTTTCCGTTAATTCGACTCCTCGATTGCGGACGAGATCAATAGTTGAACGGCAATCGGCCGCAAGTCGATGGCTTTGATAGACTCGCGGTCTGCGATGGCGTCTTTGGCCTTGGCCCTTGACTCGTGGGCATAATTTTTATTTCTACGGGTTAACCGATTGTTTTCAACATGCGAGAAGCATGAACCTCCTCCACGGGGTATGCGAGACCTCGAGCTGAGGATGTGACGAGGCATGGACTGCTCGGATTCGTTGCGAATGCGTAATCATTAAGGTGTCGCGGGTGTATTTAATTCGCCCTACATTTAATCTCTAGGTGGAAGCCGTGGCTCGACGCCGGAGCAGGAAAGGGAAGGGCGTTTGGGCACGTCTCCTCACATCAACAGGTTTCTCGCTAGGGAACCCCCCGATGGATGTGAGAAGGTCAACCTCAAGTTCGTGGAAGAGGCCAGGTAACGATCGTTCCGGTGTCGTTCGCGTCCACTTGGAAGTGTCCCATCTTTGTTGGAGTCATCCGAGTCCGGCTGGGGATGCGACGAGTCGGAAGTTTCAATCCGTTAAATTCGAGTCACTTTTTTTTTTGTCACAACTCTAATGTGAGTCAAGAGGGTAAAAACGCGTTATTTATTTATTTAGGCCATTTTGATCGCCATCGAGTCGTCGACTCGAGTCATTTCTGTTGCAACTCGAATGCAAGTCAAGTGCAAGAAGACGCGCGTTATTCGTTTGCTCGAATCGCTTCAGTGGCTTAGTATAATCGAGTAGCGCGAGTTAGGAAAGAAAACAATTCAACTAGAAATTAAAACTCGAGCTCAGACTCGTAATTGGCAGTGTTACGATGAATTAATTCGACTCGTCGCTCCCCCCCACTACAATGGCCGCTCTCGCTAACGTTCCTTTCGTTCTCCCGAAGGCGACCGATGATAGACCTGAGCAAGCTGGACTACTGTCCGAAGCCGTGCGTAGCATTCCAGCTGAAGCCGAGCCTGGGATCAGCGTTCCTGCCACTACAGCAGCCGGCCAGCCCGACGATGGTCGCCGGTGCGTCGCCCTCGTCGCACACGACACCGCCTACTCCTCCCCCAAATCCATAGTCCCACCCTGTACTCTACGGCGTGGCGCGCGTAATGCCGATCGGTAAATATATAAATACACACACACGGACATCCACACCCCACGTATACCCACGGACACGGACACGACCTGTACACACACACACACGAACATATATATATTTTTTTTTAAACAACCTCGTGGCTGGAAAGTGATTTAAAGGAGGTGACAAAAGAAGAGGGAGGGAGAGACCTACGGTTATGTAAACGAAGGCACGTAAACAAAACAAAAGATATATACCCGGCGATGTGACGGATAAAGGATGTGGAAGGAAAAGGGACACACAGAGAGGGAGAGAAAGAGAGAGGAAGAGGAAAGGGGGGTTGAAAACGAAACAGAGTTACCGGAAGGAACGACCCTGGACCATCCGCGGGGTGTCGCACCGCGGGGTTCGGGCCAGTGTTCAGAGTTCGCGGGGGGGCGATCACCCTGAAGAGACACACCTCGACGGCACCCCCTGATGGCGGAGAGGGAGAGAGAGGCGGGAACACGGGGGTCAGGAACCGCGGGAGGAACAATAATAATATTAATATTAACATTTAATAATAGGTATAAAAGTCGGGGGATAATAAGATGATAACGTTTAAATGGGAGGAGGACCGAGGGAGGTACGGCGGGATGGGAAATGTACGAGGAACAATAATTTGTGATAACTGAGATATAAAGAAAGAGAGAGAGTGAGAGAAAGAGAGAGAGAGGGAGAGAAACAAAAAGAAGAAAACAAACAACGTTTAGGAATAAACATTGTGTTCTACAGGGACAAAAGACTAATGAGAGAAATTGTGTATTCTAAATTTAGTGCTCTAAAACGTGCTAAAGGGGAGAGGCGACGGTGAGGGCGAAGCGGAGGAAGAGGAGGAAGAGAGAGAGAGAGAGACAGACGGCTTTAGTTTTCTACGACGGGGAGGAGAGAGTGTGAGAGAGGGAGAGGTGTGCGAGGTCAAGACGCGCGACAAGTGCTGGAGGAGGAACAAAGTATTAAGGATTTAACGCGGAGGGAGATGAGGGGAGGAGGAAGTTGGCCCTGGACTGGACCGGCGGGGATGCGTGCCCCTGCCCCCTCTAACCCCACAATAGTGCAGCTCTGCCCCCGCCCCCGCCCCCGTTTGGTAGATGCGTTTCTTCGACAAACCCTTACGGCTTCCCGAACGAGCCGACCTCGTAGCCGGTACGACCATCCGTTTTTTAGGACCTTGTATGTTATTTTATGTATACATAGGTGTATTGCATATATTCATCCCCTTGTCTTTTTTTTTTTTGGTTTTTTCTTTTTTTCCCTTGAATTAATTAACGCGACAAATCCTGACGCCCGCTCGCCGGTTACACGGGGATTAATTGTTAACATGTCTTGTTTGCTTCCCCCCCCCCCCCCTCGACATGTCTCATCGAAATTCGAGTCATCGGGCCGAACTTTACAATGTTTGATGAAATGTCGGACGACGACTTTGCGATGTCGTATGGAATGAGGGGTGAATACAACTCCGAAAGGAACTCTTCTTCAGGTAGACACACTTTGGACGATCAAATCTGTTGGCAAATGTTTTCCTTTTTTTTTTTTATATTTTTTTAAATTTTATTTTAAGGACGCGTATGACGGATTATGGAAGAAGGCGTTATAATTCGAGGATCCTTAATCGACGAGGCGAGCCTTGTCTCGTCATTTCTGAGGTTTTCCGTAGGTTTTCATTGTTTCTATTCTTTTTTTTTTCTCCCCTTTATGAAAATGTTTTAATTAGTCGTTAGGGAAATCGTATCTCGTAGGGTAAGGACGCGTCTCGCGGAATATTCTCTATTTTTTACCGAGGAATGTAATTTAACTTACGTTGCGTATTTATTAGTCGTTCTATCTCTATTTAACGGTGCGTGCGAATGGACCGGCGAGTCGACTCGCTTCATGTACGGTTAATTAACGAGTATTATGGCGTAAGTTGTAGGGTGTATTACGAGTTGCCTCGAGGGTTTTCTTATCTTCTTTCTTATTTTTGCCCCCGCCCCCCCCTTTTTTTTACGAACGCGCAATTGACTTTAAACGGTAGTCGTATCGAGTATAGTTACGGAAAAAATGAATTTGATTATATAACAAGTATTATTCGTACCGTTAATTGTACCGAGTTATTTCGAACTGTTGTCAAGCTCAGTGTCGTTACAACGTTCCGTTGTAGATATACACTTAACGGTTAGGTTAATGAGATATTGGCAGTGTATCGATAGCCTGTTAAGAGACTAGTATCGGTTGGAGATATTGTTTAGTCGTAGACGCTTTGTGTAAAGCTCGTTTTTTACAGTGAATAGCCTTGTCGCTTTGTATAGTGAAAATGATAAGAGGAAGAGGTCGTACCGCGGAATTGTTAGAAAGAAAGGAAAACAAAGTACGTGACCCTTCTGGCCGGTTCTCATTGTTGGTCACGTCGTTTTAATTGTCTCCTCAATGGGGACGTCGATTAATCAAAAGGATACCAAAACCCGATAATTCGATCGCTGGGGGGGAATTGTTACTATTAGAATTTTGTCTAGGGAAAAAAAAAAATCAAAGACTGAATTTGGTCGTCCAGAGTGTAATTAGCGTACTTAGACCCCGATGAGAGAGCAACCAGGATTGGACGTTGACCCGATCGAGGGTCCCGATTGCTCGAAAATGTATAATTCTGTAACTCGATCGGATCGATGTACAACGTCGATGGTAATGTCGAGAAAAGGGGGCTGGTTTGATCTTCTTGTTTTTCGTAAACTCCTTTTTCTTTCTTTCTTTCTTTCTTTCTTTTTTGAGGGTCGTTTTCTGTGCTCTCGGCGAATCCGACTTGATTTTCGCTGGCCTTCGGTGTACACGTGTACACGCACACATACGGTACATACAATGCATACACACATACACGTACGGACCGAGTGTTCCCCTTGCGAGATAATATTCTAGTTGTATCGTTCGAGGCGAGGGCGAGGGCCTCTTCAGGGTGCTCGACCTTGGGGGGGCCGGTGGGCGAGTTTGTTCTTCTTCTTCTTCTTTTTTTTTTTTTCTTGTTCTGTTTCCCAACACACAATAGTAATATACTGTCATATATTGTAATGTATCTAGCTGCAGCATTAAGAGGGATGTTAACACATAAGTACCTGGCAGACTGGTCTATGCTCTCTGTGAACCAGCTCACTAGGAAATTTATGCCTTAACATGCGTGGCATAAGGTGCCACTGGGTGCACGGAGGTTAATCGCAGTGCCCGGGGTACCTAGGTACCGGTAACGAGTACTCGAGTTACATCCAGGTATGTGGGAGGAGAGAAATTAATTGCGAAATTTCAATGTGGTAAAGGACACCTTGAAGAGGGCCGGAAGTTAATCGCAGTATCCGAAGTACCTAGGTACCGATATGAGTACTCATGCGAGTTACATCCGGAGATGTGGGAAGAGAAGAAAAATGTAATTACGGAATTTCAAGGTGAGGAACGACACCTTGAAGGGAGTCGGAAGTTAATCGCAGTGCCCGAAGTACCTAGGTACCGATACGAGTACTCATGCGAGTTACATCCGGAGATGTGGGAAGAGAAGAAAAATGTAATTACGGAATTTCAAGGTGGGGAACGACATCTTGAAGAGAGCCGGCCCTCTTAACCTCCGTGCACGCTCGCATAATGTGTTATCATTATCGTTAGCTTTTGTTGTCGATTATCAGAGAGTAACGAAGTAACGCGGCACGAAGACTGCTGAAGAGAGGGAAGTGAGGGAAAGGTTACCTGTTATTTGGATGTATCCAAAATTGAAATTAACTCTAAATTAGGAAGGGAAAGGGAGAGAGAGGAAATTAGGAAGGGATGGTACCTCGATTGGTGATTAGGAATTATTATTATACCCCCCGCGGCTCATTTTAGCGATCCTCGAGCGACCTATTGTTCGGTACATTATCAACATATCTAAGAGAGGACGTGAGGGAACGGAAGAAAGGGAGAGGGAACGGGGAATGGGAATCAGATCTGAGCAGGTTTCAGAACGGCAGAGTGATCATGTCAATTATTACATTTTCATTTAACCCTAGGACTGTCCAGATATGGGATGTGTCGTCGCGAGATATATACCTTTTCATTTCTTTTTTTTTTTCCGATACTTGGCAATGAAAAGGGAATGGAGAATGAGAGAAGAGGGGGGAGGGCGTTCGTGGTTGTGGCCGATTTTTTTTGTTTTTATAGGGAATCGCACAACTCGGCAGAATTATATTAACAGGCTCCGACTTTTCAGTGATCTCAGGACAGACAGACACAGACACAAACACACACAAAAACACACACACACACACACGCCTTGTATGTTGTATAAAGAGTACCGTGAGAAATTTTATATATTATATATAACTTCTGGACGATTTTGAATACGACTTTTATTCACTGTTTTGTAATAAATTCACATGAAATCACTCGTCTCGTCGCTTTTTTCATTCCGGGCTGCAGTGCGATTTACGTGTCTTGTATGTTTATAACTTTTGTGTATATATATATATATATATATATATGCACAGGGTGGGTCAGAATTCGTGATCGCGGTTAATATGTCGCCATCGGCAGAAATGAAGTCGAAAAGTCCTGTGCAATTTATTTCTACGGCCCCTGGTATGTCGTTAGTTTTTTTTTATTTTATTACTTTACAGGTGAACTATTATACTACTGTATCGTTGGAGAAAATTTCACGGGACTCTTCGACGCCATTTTTACGCAAAATAGGGACGCGGAAATAATGGGGTTTTTTTTTTGTTTTTCTTCTGGCAATGAATCAATAAATTCTCTCGGTTAAGAGCGGTGAAAATGATTCGCAGGGCTGATTTCCGACCGAATCCCTGTAAAGTATGCGAACGAGGCGGGCCTTGTCGAGGGGGGGATTTAAAAATCCATTTTTCCGAACATTCCTCCTCTAGTCCGTCCTAGGGCTAAATCGAAATTAGTCGAGTGAATCAGTGTGTATGCCTGTGGTCATAATTTAAGGGACTTTCTCGAGGAGTTTCCCGGGGGCCGGAAAATCCGAACTCCGCTGCACTGAGAAGAAGAAAAAAAATGTCGTCGAACGAAGGAGACGTTTCCTCGAAGTGATATCAAGAAAATATTTTATATGTCGATTCGACGAATTAGACTGAAACTTGAATAAATTGGATGCAACGTCCATTCGCGATCGCGAGGATTCATTCGATTCATTCTTCAAATATTCAACATCCGAGTGATATAATAATTATTCCTTGAATCAATAGAGATATTTCTTCGGTACTGTTGTCGAGGAAATGTCTCCTCGGTTCGATGAATTCCCTTCTTTTTTTTTCTTTTTCTTTTCTTTTTCTCAGGGTGGAGGTGGAAAAAGGAACGAGGAAGTGTCGGTCGAGGCTCACCCGGTGTGTCTGTGTCCCTACTTTGTCGGATTAGGAGAGTCGCTTATCACTGCAAGCTTATCAAAGCCTTTCGTCGGTCGTGGGGTCGACTCGGGGGAGAGAGAGTGACAGAGAGAGGTATCAATTATTAGCGAGAAGGGTTAAGGGAGGAAAGAGAGGGGGCGAGAAATAAAGGGATTCGCAGAGGCACGAAGGCGAGGTGTTAAATAGAGATAATCGTTTTTTTTTGTTTTTTTTTTTTACGTGTAATATGTACGTATACCACGCGTATATACATATATACGCGTGCACACGAACACACATTGTAACAATCCGTACTTTGAATATTACGTTCGGCAACTCCAAGTCGCGCCATCGACGGTAATGAATTATGTCTTTACAAAAGAGGATATAGTTATTTTCGGGATGATGAAAGCGAGAGAGAGAGTGAGAGAGAGTGAGAGTGAACGTGAGAGAGAGAAAGAGAGAAAATTGCGCCGTATTTCCGACGCAATTGTTGTAAGCGATCTTTTAGTACAAATATCTCTTAATCGTTACGCGTGCGTACATGGAAAGAAAGCATCGTTTCCGTTTGTCCGTTTGTATATCATTTTATTCCGTTCTCCGCTTACACTTTTTTCTCCCCCCTTTATATATATAAAAAATCGTCTCACGAGAAAAAAAACGCGTCGCGATTCGACTCGTCGAAAGTATTCGCCGATCGATCCGCTCTGTCGGTGATTGATTCTACGTTTCTTCCTTTTCAATTCGTATTTTTCCTTTTCCTTTTTCTTTATTTCTTTTTTTCTTCCTTCTTTTTCGTTCTCTAGGTAACTTAACTAAGAGTAAGGATAATTTTAACGAGTACACTGTACCGGCGAAATAAAATTTTTACGGTGAAGACACGCTTCTACAAACTCGTCCTTCTTAGGTCTTTGTATAGTATTCGGTTTTGGGGAGGAGGAAGATCCTGCGGAGAATTTCTTTATTTTTTTTTCTATTTTTTTTTTCTTTTCTTTTCCGTCGATCGCCACGCGTTTATATATAAATATGTTTATATATATATATACGTCCCGGGTGTACTCGAAGTTGCCAATGCGAATACCGAGGTTTACTTTGTATTATTTCTTCTTTTTTCTTCCCCGTAAAATCGCCGCCATAGATTTGTTATTTTTTTCCCTCCTCGCTTTGTGTACTTAAAAAAAAATCGACTCGCTTTCTCTGCGAACAGCTAATATCCGTCGATCGCCCGAGACGATTAAATTTCGATCGGCCAGAATCTATTTTTTTCTTTTGTTCCCATCGCAGAGAGTATACGTAAAAGAAAAAGGAAAACAAAATGGCGCGACGGAGGAAATATTCGATCGCTCGCGCTAGATGGAAACAGAAGGAACACGAAGATACTCCTCGGCGTCGTTAATGTTAACCTCGGTTTATTCCAATTTGCTCCTCCCTTTTTCTGTTTTCTGTTTAAACATCTAAGCGACCTTTCCTACGCAAATTACAGACGCGTGCGAGATAAGGCCCGATAGCGTCGTACAATTTCTACGCCTCTCTGCGCGCAATTTTACAGGGCGAGACTTTTTCTTCCTTCGTTCTTTTTTTCTTTTACTATTTTATCTTTAAAAGTACGTCCGCACGCGCGCACTTCGCGCAGGAAAGGTGAAGGACGCAATCTAGGAAACCAAGTAGTGTACCGCTTTCGTTATACTTTCCGCGCTTTGGATTCCTCGTTTCCTTTTCTTCGATATCTCTTGCCTCCTTTTCCTAGCGTACCGAAGCTGCGACACGATGTATAGTTGTACTATATCTTTAAGTTAGGCTAAAAACGCGACGTGAACTCGCAGCCACCTTTGTAAGGATCACCCTTTATGTATACTCAAATACTCCGAAGGAATGGAAAGGAGAGGGCGAGGGGGAGAGAGAGAGAGAGAAAGGGAGAGAGAGGGGGGAAGTAATATCGCGCGATCCCGGTCGCGTGGTGTAATATAAGTATTATAGTTTCTTTTATATCCACCTGCGCGACTACGCGGCCGATATATCCTATGTACAAGAGAATACATTGCGGCGAAAAGGGAACCTTTCTCTTTGTTTATATATATATATATATATTCTTATTTTTTAATAACCGACCGCGTTATTAAGTAAGGGTACGTCTCCGTCGAGCACGTTCGATGCGACGATCTGTAAGAGATAACGGCGGAAAGAGAAAAGGAATATTTCTTTTCTTTTCTTTCTTGGTTTCCTCCGACGCGCGTTTTCGCTTCGCCCTCTCGCGGGGGGACGAGAAACGAAATGGATAACGAACATATGCGATCCGCTTAAAGGGGTCTTGAAATCGCCTGTATGATTGTTGTCTCTTTTCCTTTTTTCTTCCTTCTTCTTCTTCTTCTTTTTCTTCCATAACGTTATTTATCAGCATTACGACGAACGTACTGGTTCCGGTAGAATTTACCAATGCGCACTCTTATTTTTATCATACAGTGTAAGTGAAGAAAAGTGTACCTTTTTACATTAGTAAGTCGCCTTACTTAAATAAAATCTCGAAACATTCTTTGTCATCTCCCCCCCTCCTCCCGTACTCGCGCGTCCGGTACTTATCAATGCCATGGATTTTTATCGTTATCAGTTAAGGGTGATTATTAAATTGTTTAAGATGTTGAATCGAGACGAGACGCGAGCTCGAATTAACGATATTAACAATTCCTTATTGATCTTAGGAAATAATTCTGTTATTCCTTGGATAAAAGGCCAGCCTTTAATTGTTAATTTCTCTACATGTCGAGGCTCGTAGGAATGATACTTTGTATGTACATTAACATTGTTCGAGATGCACTTCGAGAGATACGTCCGACGGTCACGTCGGTGAAGACACTCGGCCGCGTGTATAATCACGGGCACCACTTGTGTACACCGTTACTCATTCCTTACAAGTATATACAATTCGGATAGAAATACTGCGTCGTTATGTACAAATTGTCTATCGGGGTGTTTAGAATTATAAACCCATGTATTGTGGGGAAGAGGAGAACGCACTTCTCGTCGTGTCGCTCTTCTTCCTCGAGTCCTCGGCGTTAGGCAGGTCGCTGCGAACGAAACCGCTTGTAGAATATTTCCCGAGGAAAGTCCTCGATCATTTCCCCATACAGATGATTTCTAATTGGTCCTTCCATGGGACGGTACGTACACTTACCCAAAGAAAGGCATCAGCGTAATCAGGGTCTGTTTGCTCGGTCGCGATGAAAATGCAGGGGAACATTGCGCCAAACGACCGGCCACTCTTCGCAGCCATTGTTGCAGTTTCTGGCGCCGTTCCTCCACGAATTTTGCATCCTATGGATCGTTTTACCGTCAGTATTGTTTGAAAAGAAAGGGGGAAAAAATCCGTACGGTAGGATACCTTGTTTCCTATCGTCTTCTTCGGCGGAAAGTCGAACGCCCTGACGATCGTGTCGTGCTTCTTCAACTCTCTATAGAGAGTACGGAATTGCGCGTAACGCCGGTAAATGTTCCATTCCGTGTCTCTGATGCGTATGTAAATCTGCAGAGCGAATGAAAGACCGGTTGTTGGACGTGGATTGCAAAGATTTAGTTCGTGAGAGTTTAATATGTAAAATTTATTTAGAAAAAGGAGCAGTTGTTTACTTGATAGACGTGATGAATGTCAGAAGCTTGGCCAGTGAGGAAGGCTGATGGAATCCATATGTGGATGAAGCATGGGGGCTCGGAAGACAATCCATCTTCTCCCAGTGGACCCCGAAGACATTCCAGTTCCTCCTGGAGTAGTTTGACCAACCTATCTCTGTTTTTTTTTTTTAAACAAAATGTTTTAGGGAAGTCTTGGAATCTTGGTAGCAAGATTTAGTACATTTTTTACCTAGTCGTTAACTGCAAGGTCAATCGAGAGTTGAATTCCATTAGTTCCGCGTGCATCTCTGCAACCTGGATCAACTTCTCCTGATACTGTTGAGATTCATTGTGATAGTCCAAAGCCTGGTCGTCCTCGGTCGTTCCTTGAGAGGATGAATCTTTCTTCAGCATTTGCACCGCTGTCACGTATTTTCGTAGCTGTTGCCTTAGAAGCTCGTTTTCTCTGGCGATTAAAAGGGTATCGATTAAATATCGACTGGAGGAAAAGAAATATCGAGTGACGTACCTGTTTAAAGCCTGTAATTGTAGTTCATGACGTTCGAGGTAATTTTGATGCTGCCTCTGAAATCGGGCAAGCTGTAATCTACTGGTGACGGCATCCTCTCTGGCTTGTTCCAGGACTTCGGTCATAGTTAACAATTGAACTCTCAATGCGTCCACGTCTAATTTTTCGGCATCGACATTCACATCTAGGTTTAAAAAAGGTTCGGTTGCTTCCATTGCTGGCTCTGCAATTTCTGCCGTGTCCTAAAAATGGTTTAATGATTACTTATCATTTCAGGATTATGTATTTAGTTTGTCAGGTTAGCATTCTTACGTCTAAATAAGTAGGTCCGTTAACTAGAATGTCATCGAGAGTCTGGTCTAGAGGTGATACAGGAACGAGGCCACCGGTGTTACCAATGTCTGTTAATGGTGTCAGAACTCTTTCCTCTTCAACAGATTCACTGACAATTGTGACGAAAGAAATTCATACAATATGCTTTGCAATATAATGTATGCGGACAGTGATTTAGACACTTTCGTACCTTCTCTCCCAAGTAACTGGTCTCACGTCTAAGACCACAACAGTAGTATCACTTTGTGGTTGTGCAGTCATCGGGGATGGTGTTGGGGAATCTTTAACTGTCATTGTTGTTGGAGAGTTTAGGCATGTTGGAGGTGCACTTACAGATACTGTTGCATCATCGAATTTTCCTTCTTCATTTTCATTATCGAACGAGATTATGTGAGTTGGGACCTTTCTTCTGCGTTTCTCATGATCCGATTTCCGAATACCTAAATGACACGAATCATTTTTTCACCTTTTGTCCACTGTATAACGTGAGATATTCTTTGACTGGAAATACCTGATGGTACCGAAGAAATGATGGGCTCAGATTGTGAAACGCTGCATCTGTTAACTTCTGTTATGTCTGATCGGTCATCGAGGTCCTCATTGTCAATACGAATTGCAAATAAAATAGTTCCAAGACCTAGAAAGACAATCAGTAAGAAGTAACTGTGGTTTACGGTTACAATAATCATGCGATCGTTGTAAGTTTAACTTGCCTGCTGCTACATTTGGAAGTACAGATGACTTCTCTTGATCAAGCAAAAACGCCCAGTCTTCATAAAAGGGTGAGAGAGTTTCTGGATCAATAATAGCGTGTAAATGGCGTTCTAGCGATCGCTCATTTAAAGCTGCTCTAAGCCATGCTCTTCCACGGCCATAGTCGGTATGAACCTTTCTTAGAATACTGAAACGCTCTTGTTCATGCCATGTAAGCTGTTCGCGTATGCAAGGCCAAAAGGCTATATCGGGTCCACTCCCTGACTTACCACCAGAGACTAAGTCAGAAACATGCCTATAAATTAACAAAGTATTAAAGTTACTTTCTACATGAATAAATTCATTCAGAATTATTATTAGTTACATAATTTTAAAGATTATACCTTAACGCAGAGTTAAGTTTCTCAAGGCGATTAACACGTAGACCATGACTAAAAATCAGTTCAAACACACAACAGAGTCGTGTGACGCATGCGTCAGATTCCGTTGCCAATTCCCCACGTCCCCCGAATCTGACATGGCACATTTTAGCAGCTGCTAAGAGCTCTTCTTGTAATTTCTGTCTATCAGTTGCATGATTACATGAGTCATTATCTATCAAGTTAAGCGTCCCTGGCACTACTGCAGACATTCGAAGAGCCTGTAAAAAATGACCATCATTATAAGAGTGCTAAAACAAAGCTCTCAATTCAAGCACAATTTTGGAGTAATTAACGGTTACTTTGCAATCACTAAAATAAAATTAAATCCACAATTTATAGACCAAACTAATATTTCTTCCTGGTTTAAGTCCGGTATGGAACACCCACTGCTTTGTTTTGAATAGATATCAAGTTTAGCATTGACTCATTATTCCGCCGACAATGACTCCCACCATCCACATAAATTTACATCTGACACTCTCAAGTTGATAATTTATTATGATGGCATGTTATCAGCAAGCTCATGGCAAAGTATCGGATGACGGCTAACGGTTAAATAACATCAAAATACTAACCATTGGGAAAAACGTAAATCGGTAGAAAAAGAATTCTGCAGGTGCGTCCTTAACAAACCATGACTGCTGACGAGTAACTTGGGAAGGATTTTCAGTTTATCACCATCAATAAAATCCGCTTATTCTTCCACGCTATTAACAAACGCGCTCTTAATCCGGATGATCCTTCTGCAACGACGAAACATGTAATTTCTACCTTACCATCTCCCAAAAGACTGACAAACACTGGCGCGAAATTAGTAGGAAAATCTTGCAATTCATCACCATCAATCGGATCCTTTTATTTCTCTTCAGTGCTCACTCTGGATACATGGTACCTTAGACGATTCGTCTTGAAACGGCGAAAGATGTAATCTTGTTGCTCCGTAACTCAACATGAAAGTTTCAGCTAATTTCCTTGTCAGTGAGAAAAAAGCGCGCAGTGCCAGCCTATAAAAGACCGAAGGAAAACTATCCCGCTGCGAACACTGAATGAAACAGAATGAAATCAGAACTCCGTGGAGGGGCGGATTTGCTTTGCCCTCGATCTTTCTTTTCCGCGAGGTTATGAGCCGACCCGTTTCTCCACAGACCGTGAAACACCGTGAAACACAACATTGGACTCACAACGAGCACGTTTCCACTGCAATTCTAAATCCGGGATTTATCCAGTAAATCTTATGTCTCCGTTGTCTTGACTACGTCTCCATCGTACTTGAAATAAGGGATTTATCAGATCCAGTTTCAGTAAATTTGAATCAGGGGATCTATTACGTAAAGCAAATTGAGCGAAAATGTGAAAAATGAGTAGCTCACGGTATTACGGAACTTTTTTGGTGGTGAAAATACGAAACATTCATATGAACACCACTTCCACTGCTATGCGAGGTCTAGATATTTATGATCTAAGCTTCTGAAAAGTATACAAATATGCTTCGAAAATGGTGAAATAAACGGAAAAGTTCATTTAAAAACAAAAATTGAAAAATTCTAAGTAAACATGAAGAAGGAACGAACAGCTGATAATAGCAGACCATTTAAGCTATAAGTATTCAATTAGAAATCTATGAAGATCTAAATTTTACGTGTTCATAGTTGTATCGGTTGTTGAGGTTATGTTTATTATGTATCAGGATTTCGATTTTATAAAATAATTAATTATTATTTGATAAGTGTTTTATACGTGATTAAATGTGTGGTCTTATTTTAATTCAATCATTACAGCTCATCAAATTGTGAGCCTTACTGGTATCAGTTTTCAACGGAAAAGTATAATCGTAAGACTCAATATTTATCATTCTGTTAATAATTCTTAACTTGTTCTTCACCTTACTATTTATTATTTTACAGGGATTTGTCGAATTAACCATTATCCCATTAAAGGATAACTTAAGACTGATTAAACTTAATGCAAAACAATGTAGAATATATAGAGTATGTTTAAATGATACTTACGAGGCACCATTTCAGTACTTTGATCCATTCTTAGACATATGTCAAGGCGATAACAAACAGTAAATATAGTTCATGTTATGGCAATATTTACAAAAATAACAAGTTTGTAAAAAAAATGGTATTTTTATTTTGTTCACTATAGACGATCCTTAGAGTTCTTTTCTAATCTTCATCTGGCGGCTGCACAAAAAGTCGATCCAGATAATAATGCAGGAGAACTGGTAGTACAAGTTCCACCTGAGGCATCTCATTTGGTAGCAGAAGGAAGAGGACTACGACTTAGTATTGAGTTCTCTTTGGAACAGCCTCAGGGTGGAGTTCATTTTGTTGTTCCTAATTGTGAAGGAACATTAGCTGAGGTATTTTCATATTGCACAAATATAAAATCATCATATTAAGTCAACCGCAATGTCTTTCAAATTTGCAGAGAGGAGCTCATATGTATACCTACAGCTATGAAAATTCATCAAGATTATGGTTTCCTTGTGTGGATAGCTTTGCAGAGCCTTGTACCTGGAAATTAGAATTTACAGTGGATGATTCAATGACAGCGGTGTCTTGCGGAGATCTCGTAGAAGTGGTATATACTCCAGATATGAGAAGAAAAACATTCCACTATGTATTAAACACTCCTGCATGTGCACCAAATATTGCACTAGCTGTTGGGTGAGACAATGAAATTCTAACAAAATTTATTTGATGTTTAATCAATAATTTTAAAAATTGATGATCACGATGTTGTGTAATAAAGTCGCATATAATTTCCAGACCTTTTGAAATATATGTGGACCCATACATGCACGAGGTTACACACTTTTGTCTTCCTCAACTTCTACCATCCTTGAAAGTGTCAGCGCAATACGTGCATGAAGCATTTGAATTCTATGAAGAGACCCTTTCTAACAGATACCCATATTCTTGTTACAAGCAAGTTTTTGTAGACGAAATAGATGAAGACATCAATGCATATTCAACAATGAGTATTTTAAAGTTAGTTTATGTAATATGATCTGTGTTCTTTTGCTGTTATAATTTCTTATATTCATTTCCATTTCTTTGTCCAGTACCAATGTACTCCATTCAATGGCAATTATTGATCAAGTATACATAACAAAGAAAGCAATGGCCCAGGCAATAGCGGAACAATTCTTTGGATGTTTTATTTCAATGCAAAACTGGTCTGATACCTGGTTACCAAAAGGTATTTCTACATATTTAACTGGACTATATGCAAAGAAGTGTTTTGGCAATAATGAGTATCGAGAATGGATTCAATCAGTAAGTGTAAAATTAAACTAAAATAATATCATTTAACACTCGTACAATACAAACGATTGATGCCGTTATACTATTTTTTTAATATTTCTGTAATGTTTACAGGAACTACAAGAAGTGGTAAAGTATGAGGAGCAATTTGGAGGTATAATACTAGATCCTTCGCAACCACCTGCACCATTACCAATTTCAGCCAACACACCAGCCCCTGCACCACGAGTCCCTGATCCTGGATTTTATTTTCCAATACGAAATTTGCATACAATGTCTCCTAAATACATTGAAGTTCTTAGAAAAAAGGCACATCTAGTCATTCGGATGCTGGAGCACAGGATCGGTCAGGAATTATTACTCCAAGTAAGTCTGCTGCCATGTTTACTGATTAGTTTAAGTATTAGTAGGTTTTATTTTAACGTAACTACTGTTCTGTATTACATGGCACATCTTTGATTTGACTTCTAGGTGTTCAATAAGCAGCTTTCACTGGCCGCCAATGCAGCACAACAAAAAATTGATTCAGGTCTTTGGACTCATATGTTGATCAGTACTAATGTTTTCACAAAAGCCATATTTACAGTGACAGGTAAAGATATGGCGGTCTTCATAGATCAGTGGGTTAGAACTGGTGGTCATGCAAAGTTCAGCCTTAGTTTTGTGTTCAATAGGAAAAGGTTGGTATTCTATTTTTGAAGAATACATATTTTTTTAATAGTTGTACTAAATATAACAAAATTTCCTAGAAACACGGTTGAGTTAGAAATTCGGCAAGATACAACGCATCAAAGAGGAATCAGGAAATACGTTGGACCGTTGCTAGTTAATATTCAAGAACTTGATGGCACTTTTAAACATACGCTCCAAATTGAAGGTACAGTGGCAAAAGCTGACATAACGTGTCATAGTAAAAGCAGACGAAATAAAAAGAAGAAAATACCATTATGTACCGGAGAAGAAGTGGACATGGATCTTTCCGCAATGGAGTGAGTATAAAGTATTTGACCACCAGAGTTTCCATTGTTGCAGTTTAATTTTCTTTGAATTTTTAACATATTTCCATTAATATTATTAACCTTTAAATATTTGTAGGATAGTCAATGTTTCTGGAAATAGATTGTTATAACTTTAAAACTGTTCATAGTGATTCACCAGTTTTATGGATACGGCTAGATCCAGACATGACCCTGATGCGTGCAGTTCAAATCGAACAACCAGATTATCAGTGGCAGTACCAGCTAAGGCACGAGAGAGATGTAACTGCCCAGCTAGAGGCCATCGAAGCTTTACAAAACCATGCAACTCCAGCCACTCGATTGGCACTAACCGATACTATAGAAAATGAACACTGCTACTATAAAGTCAGACTCCGGGCAGCACACTGCCTGACAAAGGTTGTCATTTCCTATTTACTATTTCTATTTCTTATCTAAGTTTAAATAATGAATTACTTCATATTTTGTTTGTTTATCTAGTTTTAAGTTTCTGTATTCTCTATGTATTCAGGTGGCTAACGCAATGGTGGCAACATGGGCCGGACCACCAGCGATGCTGGCAATATTCAGGAAGCTCTTTGGCTCTGCATCCTGTAGAAGAATTATTAAGCAAAACAACTTTACTAACTTTCAACATTATTTTTTGCAAAAGGTTTGCCTTTTCTTGCCGCTTTGTTAAGAAAGAATTCAGAGCTAAATTCTAGCTATGTATTTGTCATTTTAATCCAGACTATCCCTGTGGCAATGGCTGGATTAAGGAACGCCCATGGAATCTGTCCTCCTGAGGTCCTTGCATTTCTTATGGACTTATTTAAATATAACGATAACAGCAAGAATCGTTATTCTGACAACTATTACAGAGCTGCTTTAATCGAAGCACTTGGTGCTACAGTGACTCCTGTCATCAGTGTTCAACAAGGGTGTGTGAAGTTATATTTCTAAAAAGAATAATAGCGATTCAACATTTCAATTTTTAAATATTATCTTACTGTTACAAATTCTAGAACATCGATCACCGCTGAATCATTATCCATCGATACGAAAGCCATCCTAGAGGAAGTAACGAGGAATTTGAACCTAGAGAAACTGTTACCGTGTTACAAGTATACAGTTAGTGTAGCTTGTTTAAAAGTGATACGAATACTACAAAAGTTTGGCCACCTGCCGAGTAATCCACATTTATTTAGGGCGTATGCTGCTTATGGGCAGTTCATAGGTACATGCAAATGGACTAATGACGCAATTATATTCAACAGCTTCAAAGTTTTTACGGGATATAAATAAATATAATTTATGGATACAGACGTACGTATTGCTGCCCTCGAAGCTCTCGTCGATTTCACCAGAGTAGATGGCAAGTGGGAAGACATGGAGTTTTTATTAGATATGGCAGAAATGGATCCTCATCCAGGAGTTCGACATAGATTGGTACGATTGATGGTGGAGAACCCACCTTTTGAAAGGGCTCACAAGCATCGGCTGGATAAACAAGAATTAGTGGACCGTATTTGGAATCTCATTAAGTATGGCTTCGAGCTAAGCAACTCCAGTTGCTCGTTACTAGTAATCTTGAAAATAATAACAATTTTTTTTTAGTGGTATGCTTTCACATGATGCAAAATTAAGATGTGATTTGGTGGATCTGTACTACACATTGTATGGCTCAAAAAGGCCTCTTTGTCTACCGATTCCTGAACTCGCAGCTATGACTGCAGGGCATAAACCTAGAAGAGCAGGGCCACAAGGTAGCCCTGAACGTGAGGTATGATTCAATGTCTTAAATCCGTAACGTTTTTACGAAAGCGAATCACTGGCAAGAATTCATTTATTGAAGTACAAAACTAGATCGTTAACCATTTTATAACTTTCTAATTTGTAAAGAAAATTAACGGTAATATTTCTAGTCAAAATCAACCATACCTCGAATTAAGCACGATGCCGTCATCGATGCCGAGGTTTTGCCGGTTCCAACGAATAAGAGGAAATCGTCTCCGAATAAAGAAGTATCTAGAACCACGAATGTCTCTGAATATGGCCCCGAAACTAAGAGACAAAAATTACCCCCAGGATCGCACAATGTAAGTAATAGCAGTTAAAACTTATAATACTGGTGTACTTATAATATAGGTTGTAATTAATTTAAGGAGGGCCGAGGCACTCCTATCACTGAGGAAGGAAAAGCAAAAGCTGACTATTACAGCGATAATTCGGCGTCGCTTCCTGGTATTATGGGTACACAAGGTCCTGTTGGTTTTGAACCAGGAATGTTTAAAAAAGATGCAGATGATACGAAACAGAAGAGTGACTCGACTAATAAAGTAAGTACTGTTTTTTGCAATGGAAGATGAGTAATTTATATGCAAAGTACGTCTTACATTTTGAAAGTTATATTTGTCTTCATATCAATTCTTATTTTTAGGCTAAGAAGAAGAAGAAGGATAAAAAGAAGCACAAACATAAACATAGGCATTCACACGCTCACAAACACGTTAAAGATAAATATAAGAAAGAGAAGGATAAAAGTAAAGACAAGGAAAAGAGTAAAGAGAAAGATTCGTCAAATCTTAAAATGAAGGAAGAGACTTTAAGTTCGGCTAGTTCGAGTCCTAGTCCTGACCCCACGACTGCAACCAATGAGTTCGTCTTTCCTTAAATTAGGTATTAAGATGTATTGTAACCGTGTAGATATTTATTGGAGAAAATCTTTATACCAGATTTTAATTTTATCTATGCGTGTATATACATTATCATATCCTTAAGTAAGTTATATCACTGCTAAGAAAAACAAGCGGTCTAAAGAAATATCTAATTTTTTTTAAGCTGGGCGCGCCATCTTGACGTTTCCGTTTGAATGAGCCTTTTGAAATTGCCGCTGGTGGCACTTGTGTCGTCCCGGCGATTTAAAAAAGAGAACTTAATTTCAAAAGTATTCGACTCCAGAAAATAACAAATGGTCAACAAAGCTCATTCACTAACTCTCTGAAGAACCCTTTACTAAGATATTACTTTATATATCTGTATAATATATATATAAAAATGATTATTTTTCTATGTGAGATATCGATTCGCGTTTCGACCGCGCCATCTTGACGTCCTAGTTTGAATTGATTCTCGGAAAACGCCGCGCAGAGCGCTGACGCTGTTGCGGCAATTTCGAAGGGAGGAGCAAGCTTTGAAAATTTTGACAACGGTCCCAAAAATGGCAGACAATCAGCAGAGTAGATTCGAGAAATCCCTTGGCTTATTAACCACGAGGTTTGTCACGTTGTTGCAAAAAGCTAAGGATGGCGTGCTCGATTTGAAAGTGGTACGTATTCATTGAAATTCGATCACGAAAAGTTAACCTGCAAACTAGGTTAAGTTGCCGCGGGGCACGCGCCACCTTTGGCTTGCGGGAAGTTTAAAAGAAGGCCCAAAGTAAGGTGCAATTCCGATTAATTTTCTCATCCTGCACCATTTACTGTATATTATACATTTCAGTATCGCAAAAAGCACCTTTTACTTAGGGATAATTGACTTGTTGATAAACGTTGATAAAAAAAAAATTGATACATAACCTAAGCATGCAGTTCACAGAGATATATCTTTTTCGCACACAGATTAAAATAGAATTCTACATTCTAATTCAAATAGCTGTAATAATAGGACGCGTAAATGTATAATTTTATTGTACCATTCTATGCTTTTACAATACTCAGATTGCATTGGCATTGCAGGCTGCCGACATATTGGAGGTACGGCAAAAGAGGAGAATATATGATATTACTAATGTTCTGGAGGGTATTGGACTGATTGAGAAAAAGAGTAAAAACAGTATTCAATGGAAGTAGGTTACGTTATTTTGTTTGGAGTATTCACAGTTTTCCTCAAAGTATAGGAAATCGTAATGATTTAAATGAATTTACTTTCAGAGGTGCTGGGCCTGGTTGCAACACACAAGAAGTCGGAGAGAAGCTAACAGTCTTAAAAGATGAATTAAGGAAACTAGAGGAACACGAACAGTTGTTAGATAAGCACACACAGTGGATTCAACAGAGCATAAAAAATATTGAAGCTGATATTGTAAATCGAAAGTATGCGTATATTACATATGAGGATGTTAAGCAGAAGTTCTCAAATGAGTTTATATTGGGCATTCAAGCTCCTCCAGAAACTCAATTAAGTGTACCAAATATTATGAAGGTTGGTAATGTGAATGTTATTTAAACTGGAATTAATTGTCATAATTATATACATATTTCTAATTTAGGTAATGGACGAGGATGAAAGGGATATAAATTATGAAATCTTTTTAAAAAGCAATTCAGGCGAAATCAAAGTATACATGATTCAACCTGAATTAGCGGCAACATATGACAATAAAGTCTTAGAAATGAGATTGCAAGAAGGAACAAAGGGGACAAAAAGGGAAAAAGAGGAAGAAGAGAAGAAGGAGGATTCAAAACCAAAGAGGAAAGTCGGAAGGTATACATTATTAATTTCTGCTTGCATCATGAATGCTCTACTTCGCATCAGAAACAGTAAGTCTGTGTTTCTGATCTGCAAAGAGCAGACAGTATGAAGTGGTCTGATTTGGGGATGAGTTGCTACAAGAATTTGCTTGCTCATTTGGTGATGACCATACACTTTCACCTCGTTCAAATTAGCCTCAAACTCTATCAAGTTTCTTGATTTACACATTTTTTATTAAATATATTTTCAGGCCACCAAAGGCAGTTAGTAAACTTGATCCAGTATTGTCAGATGAGGATGACGAAGATGATCCAGAATTAATAGAAGCGAAAATAGTCCTTAGTGATGTTATAACCTCAGGTAAATTATAAAAATACTTCATCACATCCTAATCTAATATTTGATGTTTTTATTAATTGTACCTAGGTAAATGTAGTTTATTTATTCCATTAATTTATGTAGATTCCAAGCAGTTCCGACTAAGCTTTAGCATGAGTTTTATCAATGTACATATGCAAGTTGGTGCTTAATTTTCGTTTCTTTTGCTTCCTGTATTTTTAGACATTGTCAGAACAGACTTGGACTTACTGGACGAGTTTTATTCAGACTGTAAGTTTCTACTATATTTACCTGCTTTCTTTTTGTTTATTATTTTACAGTTCCTTAGATCCTAACTTTTTGCAAACAACTATCTTAACTCACAATCACTTTCTGAATCCACTAAATTACATTAACTAGTTTCAAATATTTTAAATACTGTCCATGCATTTTAAAAATATTTCTAATATTTTTCAGTTTGTGGTCCTTTGGTAAGACTAAGTCCACCACCGGGAGAAAAAGACTACCAATTCAATTTAAGTGAGAACGAGGGAATTTGTGACCTCTTTGACATTGTAGCAAAGTGAATGCAGTTAAGCCCGTTGTCCCTAGCAAGTTGATATACCGGCGAGACGTGTTGAAACAAACCAGTCATTATCTCTGACTGCATCAGATATGCAGAGTATACAATGTATTAAATGAACAAACATTGCGGAACCTGCAATTATAATTTGTTGCCGAGGTTCGATTGAAGGTATGGCATCGCCTGATTTATTTTGAGGAACAGAAGGGTAGAAATCCTTTAGGACACCCATGTGCAGATATTATGATATAAATAGAAGTGTACACATCATGTCACGTGACTGCGATCATTGAAGTTTAAAAGTATATTACATGGAATTGGAAGTTGCCAGGCAACTTCGTATTATTTTCTTTTTTAGTGTGGTAAAGTGTACATCGACAATGAGCGTTAACATGCATTAGGATCGTTCAATTTCTTCGATCGTATTTGGTTAGAAGAGTTATATTAAATAATATTTTTGTGATCATCGCAAGCTGAATCTTTTCAGACATTTCGTGATTCTCGATATTTTTAATATGTTCTAGATCGCTATATAATAGTTGTGCATTTAGTGAGGATGCGTATATACCTGTTAGGTAATATGTGTTAAGAACTAGGAATTATGTTAAGAAATATTGTAAACGATTATATTGTGCTAATCAGAAGCATTTTATTTCCTTGCGATAGGAGTCTGATGTAGATAAAGCGTGAATTCAGAAGTACCAATGTGTCTGTGTTTTATCGGATACGTAACAAAGTTCCAATGCTCTTCGATAGCATGTCAGTCAGGAAAAAGTAACAACGAGACGAGTTGTATAATCTCGGGCATGCGCGATTAAGAAGGGAAGAAACCTTGTCCGAAGAGCGGAACACGTGGACTTCTCTAAATGTCTTCAAGGCCAGATAAGAATGGCTCGAAGGATTTCGTCACCCTGGGTTTTGCGAGCGTGCCCTCCGTCTCGGGATGCACTCTTTCCTACCGCGCGACGACTAAACGTCTGCCAAAGCAAGGCTGCGTGACATCGAGCACAATTAGTTAACCGATGCGCCGTTACGACGCGATAAACCCACCTCAAATTATCCACCATCGACCGCGCCCGCCGGTTCTCCAGTCTGCATTCGAACGTCCCGCGTTACCTCACCGTTGACCTATCCCAAGGTGCGTATTCCGGTGTGCGAATTATGGTGGGTTATAGTGGCTTATGGCGAGTTACACCAACTTATGGCGACGTAAAAGCGAGCAAGACTTTGCAAGCGACGCTATACGCGTCGAAAAAATACGAAAAGGATAGTGATCGTGCTACGTGGCTTGTTATTTCAATTCAATTTTCCCGCTTCCAACGGATACGCCAATCGCATGGCTGGATTCCGTCCGGCCGCTGGAAGTGCGCAGAGAGGATGCGCGGTGCATGTTACTCCAGATACTAAAGAATGTTCAAAGGTGATTTGATAGTTCGTGGGAATTCGGAAAAGTTCCAAGGGAAACGCCAATCGACGAGAATTTCGTATTATCTGGGAGGAAGCATGTCGGATATATGTCAGAAAGGGTATGTAGTATGCAGTAGTATGTGATGACGAAGGTGTGCGTGCCGTCTACTGGCTGTCATCAGTGAACGAAATGGTTTCTTGGAAATAATCTCGGTAAATAGATTCTTGTTAATGTCGACTGCGATAAAGAACGGCTCGTGGTTGACTATCATTCAATCGGCTGCTTTGCAATTCGTGAAACGTAGAAGTTAACCGTCAAGACACTCGAGCTGTCATTTGCAGCGCAGCAGACGACGAACTTTGAGATGCAACGATATAGCGATGGCGTAATCGACGCGTGACATCGTCGTCTGCTAGAAAGTGCACGAACGAAACTTGCATCGCGATATATATTTACTCGCCATTCACGAGGAAAAGTTTTCCTTCGACTGTATCGCTGCTCAGTGCTTGTAGAAAGATGTGACGAGTTCCTTGGCATGGTCCAGATGAACTGTCAGCTGTGAACAATTTATAAAAGACAATCGTTTGTTCAGAACAATGGAATGACATACATGCGATTAGTACATAGCGTTGCTAAAAAAGCACGTGGGTGATTTTTGACAGTCACAGGTGGTATTCTAATTGTCGCAGGGTATACTGACACTCGCTGTCATGTGTCAGAAACGTGTTCTTGCTTTCACAATTGGTAAAATTGTTTTTTAACTTTAGACGCGTCTAGATAAAGTTCGTTATTTAGGTATATCCTCTAAGTAAACATTATATTATAGGCTTGAATATATAGATAAATGGTAATATTATCTACCGATTCATGTTTCACATATAGACTTAAGTAATTTGAGCATCAGAGTAGGGCAGTGCTGCACGTGGCAGAACGTTCCTTATTTTTCATCATTCTTGCGTAGAACAGTGAATGCGACGCAGTGAAAGTAAGGAATAGATTTGTTTTTTTTCAGTAACGACAACGAAGATGCGGGTCGTCGTGGCGAAATTTCGTGAAATTACCCGACAGTATCCTGTAACCAGGGGTATGGCATCATACACCGTCATTTGGCCAGTCGCGAGTCTTCTACAGCAAAGAATAATTGGCAGCGAGGAATTGAACTACACACAAGCATTGAGATTCAGCATCTACGGAGGTTTCTTCGTAGCTCCGACTCTTTACTGCTGGTTGAAATGTGCTTCATACATGTGGCCAAAGAGTAACTTAAGGTCTGCGATAACAAAGGTATGCATGTCACTGAACAATTTCTATTTATGATGAAATTTCATCGAATTCACCTTTTTCCAGGCTCTTGTCGAACAGGTCACATATGGACCCGCAGCGATGTGTTGCTTTTTCTTTGGAATAAACCTCCTGGAGTTTAAGTCAATTTCTGAATGTTTTGGGGAAGTCCGTGAAAAATTCTGGCCAACCTATAAGGTATGATTTTAGGTATCAAAGTAATTTTTTAATTTTATTATATTTTCATCGTTACATCATGATATATTCATAATCATCATTATAATCATGATATTTGTCACGATTATAAAACAATTTTTGTACATCTTATCCCAGGTCGGAGTATGCGTGTGGCCTTTCCTTCAAACGATTAACTTCCTGCTGATTCCAGAGAAAAATCGAGTGGTTTATGTGAGTTTTTGCAGTTTAATGTGGACCTCCTTTTTAGCATATATGAAATCATTAGAGACAAAGCAGTTACAAAGAGAAAGAGAACGTACCGAGAAACCAGTTCTCCGAGAGAGTCGTACAACTAATAACAGTATAAGTCAAGCACAGAGAAAAACTGCAGAATCTCGGTGGTTTTCAAGTTTACGATGAAATGAATTAGGTTCTCTTTACTTATAGTTTTATTTATTTCTGTATGGCCTAGTTTACATTGTAAAATGTATTTTATACTTTGTTATCACTGCATAACCCATTGTGTTTACTGGTATACTTAAAAATGTGCATTTTTATGGTCACAAACGCCGGATAACAATGTACACACATTCGTACTGTACATACTGAAACGACTAGGATAATTCTAGGACCATTTGCCTCAGGTGGCAGAAAAAAAGTAGACACTATTGTTAAGATTAAAGTACAAATCGTTCAATGAGTCGTAAACTTATGTATATCGAGCACAATACGACTAAGAAAGTGTTCAAGTGAAAGTACTACTCGCGACGTGACGAATTATTATTGACAATAATAGTATGTACATATGCAACGATTAAATTATTAAAAACGGTTTTCAAAACATTCTCATGAACCCTACCATACATCAATAGCATAAAAAATGATAATATTATTCCGGCCCCAAAACAAGCCATTAACGAGTCTCGAATAATTAACGAAACGCACGTGAACAGGCAAATATCACTTCCTGGGTATTACCAGGCATTTTTATTGATTTTCATCAACCTTCGTGTGGTAAATATGGCAGTCGATAGGAATTTTCCGACCTCAAGGAAACCCGGAAAAAACTGACGGCATCATCTACCGACACCAGCGTACAATAGTCGGCCGTTACCGCTTGCCGCTTGATAGGGTAATTTACCGGCATCGTTTGTATCTGGTCCGACTACGTGGCGCCATCTGTCGGGCGCAGGGTGAACTAGTTACCCGAAGAACCGTGCATTAGGAAAGCGGACCGACTACCTGGCTCGGATTCGCTACGGGGCCATGCGCGGCTCCGCTCGCGGGCCTGCGCGGGCGCGAGTGGAGCCAAGCGGGCCCAGGGCCAGGCCGAGGAGAGCACCGAGGAGAACGTCAAGGTAGAGGGGCTGCCCGCTTGCGGTCGCGAGCGCTCGCGGGCACGAACCGCGCCACCGCCGTCAGCGGGCAGTCTTATTACGCCCGCACTCAACTACGCGAACTAAGTACTTAGAGGCCGCCTTTAATAGGCCGGACGGATTCGCGGCGCCGCGCTCGAGACTCGCGAGCCTCGTAGACACGTCGACTCTCGGTCGCGGGCCATGTCGGGTTCTCGGGAAAAGTTAAGAATTGAAATTCGCAACGGCGAATACGTTTCCAAAGGCGGATCGAACCCTTTGACATGAATTCTAACACGATTGCTCGCTCACGGGATTGCCTTGCGGTCAATAGTGTCAACCGTCGTCTAAGCGGCGCAAGAGGGTAAACGGTTTAATTTTTCGCCGTTATCGTCACGTGTAGATATTACTTTTTAGTACATAGGAGGAATTTCGGTTAGGGCTTATTCATCTAGGATCTCTAATTGGCGTAGTTTAGCGCCGAGCTTGACCCGACCAAAATCCTAGGCTTCGTATACGAAACGAAAAGAAAATTCGTTATCGTGTGGAAGCTTGCCAGGGCGTGTGTTAACGGTGCAACATGTGTCGAGAGTGTCAAGACCGTGGAGAGAATCGCGAGGGGAGCCGACGCTGCCGTGCCATCATCTGCATACTCCGTGGTCCAGATTTTTTCCTCGGGAATTTAAAAGCGGGCCCTTAGCGCAACAAATTGAAGCGTTCGGGAGAAAGGAAAGAAAAAGACGTATGAGGAGGGAAAGGAAGAGTCGGACGGGCGGAATCGTTAATTTTCGTTCTCTCGTCGAGAAGTCCGGTGGCAAGGTGTGCCGTTTTAAGCGGCAAAAAGCCCTTAAACCATAAACTCGGTGCATCGTCATTCAACGGGGACGGTTCGTAGCCGAGACTTTGAAGAGCGGTTCACTCGCGAAATTACATGTTTCGACATACTTTCGGTGCGCTATGAGCGTCAACGTCTTCGACCGTAACGGGTGGCTCGTAAGTAAGTACGTCGGTGGAACGGCGGGGGGTATTTCGTATATTTACTATTATTCGGTCCTATCGTTCTTACGATACGGGTTTAAACCTCAATTTCCTAAGATAACTACAGTTTAAAAATAGCTTAGGCCTCGTTAAAAAGATGAAGGCGGGAACTTCCAATGTCAGGGTTAATCGTCGCCTCGGCGTCGAGGCGACGTTTCGGAAGGATACTAAAAATGGGGTAGGAAATTCTAGATCGCAGTTACAAGCCCTAAGTGAGCTTCTATAATTTGCGAGTCGTCTCCATGCTCTAAATTAAATCGCCTGGACGAGGGTCGGGTAAATTGTGTCTAGGGATGCGCGAAATGGAGAATTAGGAGGACGCCATCTTGAAAATTATGGCCTTTGAAATAGGAACGTCTTCGAAGGAGGACGTCCGGTTGTATTGCGGTTTCCTTTTCGTACGGATCCAGGTCTGAGATGAAAAGAAACTCTCGGTTGGGCCGTAACGCTCGAGTAGGGGATTTTCGGGGGAATATCGGCGGTGGTCGAAACGGCGGCTCCTTTGAAGGTCTCGTTTCGAGACACCCAGTACGGAAAGCATACGAGATACTCGCTTCTCCAAGTAAACTCGTTTATCGAGTTACACCGCGGAGGCCAGGCAGAAGGCCAGTGGGACGAGAAGTCCTGGACGATTCCGTGCCGAACCTACGCGTTTGCATAGACAATTCGAGTCGAGTGCTTTTCGCGAAAGGTGGAACTCGCGGATTTCGAAGCTCGGCTTTACCCCCGAGATGGCCAAGATGGCGGCCTTCGGCGATCGCCGGCTCCTTCGTAGAGCCGGCCGGCGCATTTCTCCAATTTACCTTACGAGCTCTTACCGAGAAGTTATCAACATAATCGTAAGATAAACGGCCCTCGTAAAATTAAAAAGCTCGCACTCCCCTCGGCGAGCCTCGACTCGGCGGCTCGACTTGGACGACCCGGCCGATGCAACGCTGCCATAATCGGACTTACTCCTAAGCGGTAATCGTTTAGATTAAAGATGGCCATTGTCTCTATATGGTGACGACGAAATCGTCGCCGTACTTCCGAGCGTCGGGCCAAATTTCGATTTTTCTCAGTCGTTGCTGGATCTCGGGCGCAATCTTGGGTGCGACTGATTATATCGATTATCTCTGATTACCTCATCAAATCGTTAACCCCCTGCACTACAATGACGAGTGAGATTCATTCAGCTAGAATTGTTCATAATTAAATCGAAGCGCAAGGGGTTAATCAAAAAACTTGGTAGTGCTTCGCGCCAAATATACGGTTATTGAACTTAATCCTCAGCGATAATCGTTTAGATTAAAGATGGCCATTGTTTCCATACGGTGACAACGAAATCGTCGCCGTACTTCCGGGCGTCGGGCCAAATTTCGATTCTTTTCGGTCGCTGCCGGATCTCGAGCGCGGAATCCTGGGTGCGACCGATTATATCGATTATCTCTGATTATCTCGACAAATCGTTAACCCCTTACGCTTCAATGACGAGCTAGATTCATTCAGCTAGAATCATAATTAAGGTGATGTGAAAGTGGCGTCGAAGAGGTTTTGTTTATAAAACTTTCCTCCCAACTCGGTTTACCGAATAGTTTGAAACTTTACAACGTGAATAGGAAGACTATAAGGAAGGTCCTGAAACTCATGAAATTTCAATTCTTTTCAAATTCGTTTATAGGTATTTAAAAAATAGTTTATAAGAAATGAAATTTCACGAGTTTCAGGAAATGCCTTAGGGTCTCCATATTCACGTTTTAAGTATGAAACTAAAGTATGAAACGATTTGAGACACCCAGTTCATAGAAAAGTTCTATGAACGATTGAGCTTTCGGATGCCACTTTCACATCCCCTTAAATCGAGGCGCAAGGGGTTAATCAAGAAACCTGGTAGTGCTTCGCGCCAAATATACGCTTATCGGACATACTCCCAAGCGGTAATCGCTTAGATTAACACGTTCAACCCGGCGCATTTTTTGCCGCCAGATGAAAGCAATGCCTGTGAACCACCGGTGGTTCACGCTGGGTTGAACGTGTTAAAAATGGCCATTGTCTCTATACGATGTCGACAAAATCGTCGCCGTACTTCCGGGCGTCGGGCCAAATTTCGATTTTTCTCGGTCACTCTCGGATCTCGAGCGTAATCCTGGATGCGACCGATTATATCAATTATCTCTGATTATCTCGACAAATCGTTAACCACCGCGGTAATTACTTCGGCTTCGCGTTACTCGGAGGTGTTTTTCAGCACCCGCGACAGTACTTGCGTTGGCGACGGCGGTCGATCTTTTTTAATCGTGCCGCTATTCCGTAACGGTTTGCGGTCTCGTTAGGAGGTCTCGTTTCATTAAATGACGCTAACTAGTCGTTTTGCCGTCGACCGGGAACGGGATTCGCTCGTCGAGTGGCCCGATTGTATTTAATCGGATCCTTCTTGTCACGATCGTCCGACCGATCGGAAAATTAACGGCTCGTCGGTCGGCCGGAAATCTCGGCAGAAAATCAGCCAACCGCGAAGTGCCGTTTACGTCGTTTTCGATTTTGTCGACAGCGAATTTCCTGGAGGATCGACTCGAAACGCGGTCTCGGCTGAGGTCAGGGTCCCACTGAGCGCGTCGGGTGTCACACGGGGCGCCGAGCGTCAACGCGTCTTGATTGATAAACTAATCATAATTACGCGCGAGGTTAAGCGCAATTCCCATTGGTTCTTCATCCTTCTTACATCCTATACATATATTTAAAAGTCGAAATATTTATAAAACATTTCTCCAAGCTGGGTGAGTCGATTAATTTTAAATTTTAACACGTGATCATGGAGGTCTTAAAACTCGAGACATTTCATTTTTCGGGAAAAACTGTCTTTGATACTTGTTCCGGATAAATTAAACATTTTTCTTTCAAGAAATGAAATTTCCCGGGTTTCAGTTCCTTCATTAGGATCTCCATAATCAGGTGTTAAAGTTTCAAATTGTTCGGTCCACTTATTTTGGAGAAATGTTTTATAAGTGATTTGACGTTTCGATAGATCTAGAATGACCCTTCCGTAACACTTTAAAATTGACAAATCGATTAGGACTATTGCAAGGATAAACGCGGTTCTGATTATATTTTCACCCTTGGTGAGTTGACGCGACGCGCTCGGTGCGACGCTCGACGCGCTCAGTAGGACTCCGTCTAACCGGCGAACTTCCCGGGCGAGAAAAATTTCCTCGATCCGGCGTAAGACTCGACCTTTGCTCTTTGCTTTCCCAGGGAATTTGATCGAACATCGAAGCATCTTGTACATCGAGATTTCAGCGCCCTGCTATGCGCAAGCCGTATAAGGCCCTCGCTATCGGATGCGCACGCGTGCCACGCGAGTGCGTGTCTCGAGTGATAAGCGGCCCGAGCCTTCTGGAGCGACGCCGTAGCTTTTGCCGCTTTGCGTTCTCCGGTTGACGAATCGGCACTTCCTTCGACGACACTCGGGGA